TAAATTTTCTCTGGGTAAAAAATTCTCTCTGGGTCCATTGTGTGTTCCTAGAACTCAAGTTTGGTTTTTTTTTTTTTTTTTTTTTTTTTTTTTTTGGTGGAACCAGGGATTGAATTCAGGCCCTTACACTTGCCAGCGAAGTGTAAACACTTGCTTATTCTACTGAGCCATCTCCCCAGCCTCTATTAACTTCCATTTAAGGATTTCACTATACCATGCTGGTCAGGAATAAATGAAAATTCTGGCTAGACTAGAAAACCTTGGTCCATAATCTGTATCCTTAGTCTTATCCTTAGTGGTTTTTTTTTTTGTTGTTGTTGTTGTTTGTTTTGTAGTACCAGGGACTAAACTTAGTACCCTGCACTTACCAGGCAAGTGCTTATTCTACTGAGCTGTCTCCTGGGGCCCTTATCTTTAATCTTAATGATTTTGTTTTAGGTAGAAGTTGGCCCACCTCTAGTGAGTTAATGGGAAATCCAAAAAGGGTGACACCAATAATCCCAAGCCTCCATTCATGCCTTAGGGAAGTGTCTAAACAGAACCCTCACTTTAGTTTTCAGATGCCCTCCAGCCACAGTCCTGATGCATTCTCATTGCCTGCACTGACTCCCTCTCAGCCCTGACTGCCTACTTATTTCTACCTAATTTAGCTGCCTGTAATACCAACACTATGGCAGGCTGAGGCAGGAACCTGCCATAGCAGATAACAAATTCAAGCCCAGGGCCAGCCAGACAGCTCAGTGGACTAAAGCGCCTACATAGGCAGAGCTCAGGGGCCTGGGTGCCAAGGTGGCCCCACCCCGGGGCACACTGAGATAGCAACTGTGACTGGGTGCATAATTCCAATGCTTGGGAGGCTGAAAACAGGAGCATCACTACAAATGTGATCCATGGAGTGAGACCCTGTAGACTCTGTACTAAATACATTAAAAAAAAAAAAAAAAAAGTACTGGTACAAAAAATCGACATGAAAATCAGTAGAACAGAATAGAAGATGAAAAATAAAAAAACACCCAAGCACGCTGAACTCTTTGACTTTTGATAAGCCAAAAACACACACTGGAGGAAAGATAATCTCTGGCTACCGGGAAAATTGGATATCCATGTGCAGAAGAGTGAGTCTAGACCCATATATCTGGATCAAAGATAAATGTTAAAAGAGAAACATTAACATGATAGAAGAAAAAGTAAGTAAAATTCTTGAATTAACAGTAATAGGCAAGGACTTACTAAACAGAATCCCAGTTGCACAGAAAATAGTACCATGAATCAACAAATGGGACAATATCAAATTAAAAAGCTTATGAACCAAAAAAAAAAAGAAACCCAAACAGTAAAGATATAATTTCTTCATTAAAATCTATAGAATGGGGGTCCAGGGAGATGGCTCAGCGGAATAAGTGCTTCCCTGGCAGGCGCAAGGGCCTGAGTTCAATCCCTGGTTCTGTAAAAAAAAAATAAAATAAAATCTATAGAATGAGAAAAAAATTTTTCTAGCTATTCCTCATTCAGGACTAATACAAAAAATACATACATAACTCAAAATTGAGACCCCCCCAAAAAAAGAAATCAGAAAGTAGGCAACTGTAATGAACAGACAGTTCACAGAAAGAAGTAGAAATGGCTAATAAATGCATAATGAAATGCTCAACATCATGGCCCATTAGAGAAACACAAATAGAAACAACACAGATTCCATCTTTTTTTTTTTTTTTTGGTATTTTAGGGAAGGGTCTACAGGGTGTTCAGGGTCTCACTACTATATCAGACTTGTAGTGATTCGCCTGCTTACAGCCTTTGAATGCTGGGATTACAGGCACGCACCACCACGCCCAGTCTCAACTGCTGTCTGAGCATGCCCCAGGGGCAGGCCAGTGTGGCAGGCCAGGGACTGAAACCCTGGCCCCTGCCTGTTTGCAGGCATTTTAATCCACTATTTGGCCAGCCCACAGATTCCATCTTACCCCAGAAACAATAGCCATTGTCAAGAAATCGAATAACAAATGCTGGCAAGACTGTAGAAAAAAGAAACCCTTTTATATTGTTGGTGGGAATGTAAACTAATACAATAACTTTGGAAATCATTGTGAACATTCCTCAAAACAAAGAAACTAGAAATTCCATTTGATCTAGTTACTCCCCTTCCAGGTAGCTTCCAAAAAATGCTAAAAAACATATTACAGTGACACATGTATACCCTTGTTTACAGTAGCACAATAAATAATAGCTAAATCTTGGAAGAGATTTATATGTTCATCAACAAATGAATGGATAAAGAAACCGGTATTTACACAAAAGTAATTATTATCCTCCCACAAATAAAGATAAACTTCAGTCATTTGTGGAAAATGCAGGCACCACCCTGAGACCATAATGGTAAATGAAACAAATCAGACACACACATTTAAATTTTATAGTTTCACTTACATGAAAAACTCAGAAGTTTAAATAAAAGCAAAATAAAAGACAGATAAGAAGTACGGAAACAGAGCTTTCTGGAAGGAGAAGAGATCAAGAAATAGCGGGATGACTGGGGATATAGCTCAGCAGCAGAGTGCCTGCCTAGCAAGCATGAAATCTGAAGTCTGATTCCTAGTATAAAACTAAACAAAACAGAACAGAGAGAGATGGAGGGAGAGGAAGGAAAAGGGATTGCAAAAAGGAATTAAAATGCACCAACTCCCAACAAGGAATGTAAACATTATGTATTACAAACATGTACTAATAAATGTTTTAAAATTAATTTTTAAAGGCTGGAGATACAGCTCAGTGCAAAAGCTTTAGGTTCAATCTCTGGTGCTGGGGGAGGGTGAAGTGCTGAAAAAAAAACACAGGTGGTAACAACAGATTAATACTTACATTCAGTGCAAACCTTCAATAATTTAGGTTGTTTTAATATTAATCTTTTCTTTGAAATTTCTACCTGGGAATTTAAGAACATAAAATATGTAAGCCAAAATAAATAAATAAATAAATCACTGTATCGTACAGCTTACCTGTGTTTTCCCTTGTTGCCCATAAACAATTTTTGTTGGGATGATTTTAGCTGCGGGTTGAACTGTGGAACCTATTCCTTTTGGCTGAGTTACAATCATTTTGGTAATGGGTCTTGTAGCAGTGATAATAGCTGGCTTTGCTCCTGTTGGCACTGTCTGAATAGTTTTTTCTCCCTAAATTGAAGCCAGTAATTATAAAAGACATTTATATACATTTAAATAATAAAAGCTCCTTTTACTAAAATAGCAAAGATAGTTTTAGCATAATGATAAATGAAGTTATATAACAAAGTAGCGTTTCTTTTTTTCTTTTTTTTTGCAGAACTGGGGATTGAACCCAGGACCTTGCGCTTGCCAGGCAAGAGCTTATTCTACTGAGCCATCTCCCCAGCCCCTAAAAGTAGTGTTTCTAAAAAATCAAAACTGCTAGGCTTTGTTGAAATAAACTCAGAATTCATCTGCCCAGTTTTCTTTTTTTACATTTTTTTAAAGAAAAAAAGTTAGAACACTACAAAACAAGATATAAGAGTAACAAAAACTAATAACATGGAATACTGTCATCTTGAAATTACTCAGGGTTCAACATACCAGCATTTAATTGTTCAAACAATATAAGCAAACTTTTCAATGAAGAGAAATTAGTATAACTATCTTAACTATCATATATGTATGTGGTGTGTATATTTTCGAGACAGGGTCTCGCTGTGCAGTTCAGGCTGGCCTTGAGCTCATTTCGTAGCCAAGGATAGTTTTAAAACAGCAACAATCCTCCTGCCTCTGCCTCTCAAAACCAATGTTTCTTTCCTTGTACCAGGAATTGAACTTCGGGCACATATGCCTGATTTTTTTTTTTTTCGTTTTCCCTTCCTTCTTTACTCCTTTCCTCCATCCCAGTTTCTCTTTCCTTTTGAAGTTTCTTCCCATTTTATAGTATCTACTTTATCCTTCTTTATGCCCGAGTAGTAGTACATTTATAAAGATACCACATCTTTCTTATCCATTCCTCAGTTGATGGGGCATTTGGGTTGTTTCCAAGATTTAGCTATGACAAATTGCACTGCCATAAACATGGGTGCACAAATATTGCTGTGGTACAATGTTTTCAACTCTTCTGGGGCAATACCCGGAAGGGGAATAGCTGGGTTGAATAGAACCTTCAGTCCTAGTTTTTTGAGGAATCTCCACACCAATTTCCACAGTAGTTTTACCAGTCTACACTCCCACCCACAGTGGAAAATAGTTCCTTTTTCTCCAACCTTTGTTACTGGTTGATTTCTTGATAATAACCATTCTCTCCAGGGTGAGATGGAATCTCAGTGTTTCTATTTTTTTGTGGCTGGCCCAGCCCACCTTGGAGGCGGGGCTGACACAGCATGTGGTGCCCAGGTCACTGTGTGTCCCTGTACGCTTGCCTAAGCAGACCACTTAAGCTATCTCGCCAGCTTAGTGTTGTTTTAATTTGCATCTCTTGAATGACCAGTGATGTTGAACATTTATCATATATTTATTTGCTTTTTTACTCTATCTGAGAAATATGTATTCATCTGAGACACCCATTTAATTGGGTCTTTAAATTCCAGAGGTCTGATATTTTTGAGTTCTTTACATGTTCTTTTATCTGAGGAAGAGCAAGCATTTTTTCCCACATTGTGGGCTGTCTCTTCACTTGGTTTCTCTTACTGTGCAAACGCTTTTCAATAAGATGAGATCCCAGTTGTTGATTCTTTGTGATAATTTCTGTGAGATCAGGGTTTTATCCATAAAGTCTTTGCCTACACCAGTGTCTTCAAGAGTTTTACCTATTCTATCTTCCAGCAGATTAAATGTTTCTATTTTAGTATTTAGATATTTAATCCATATCAAATTTAGTTTAGTGCATGGTGGAAGATATGTGTCCAATTTTAATCTTCATCATGTGAAGAAGCAGTTTTTCTACCACTATTTATTAAAGAGGCTATCTTTCTTCTAGTGAATGTGTTTGGCATTTTTGTTAATGATAAAGTAGCTGACCATATATTTGACCAAATTTATACCCCCCTCAAAAAAACTAATTATATTCTGATGAGTTTTTTAAATTACATAAGAATATTTATTAGCTGGGCATACTGGTACCCATCAGTAATCCATGCTTCTCAAAAAGCAGAAGGACTGCAAATTTGAGGTCGATCTGAACACTTCAGTGAGATTCTATCTCAAGATTTAAAAATAAAAGTAGTTACTGACAGAGCACTTGCCCCAGGCTCAATCCCAGCATCACAAAGATGAGGGAAAATGTACTTATAATACTACCCCATCAGTAAATGCAGATATTAAAAGGACTATACAGTTTTAGAAGAATGTAGATTAATGTAAGTGATGATTATCTCTAAACTTTGGAATTATAAGTTTCATTCCCCATATTTATTTTTATTTTCTAATGTATCTGAAATTAATACTTAATGAAAAAATTACTGAATATACCCAGTTTTAAAACAGCTAAATGTCCACATATAAAATAAACTCCCCAAATTTACATATGAAATTACACAGGTATATAGCAGAATACCTACATGAAAAGTGTATGCAAAAGGTGAATACAATAAAGATATTAACAATATTTCTAAGGTTATATTAAAAGATTTAAGGTATTTCCCATCTTTTATTATTAATATGTTATTAGTATCACTTTGGTCCTATATAGGTAGTTTAAGCCTATCAGCTTTTCACCATTTTTTGTATTTTCATATGCTTTATTCCTTTTTTTTTTCCCGGCGGAACCGGGGACTGAACTCAGGCCCTTGCGCTTGCCAGGGAAGTGCTTATTTCACTGAGCCATCTCCCCAGCTGCTTTATTATTAAGTACCATTTTCTAATCTTTCATGTCAATACCTTTTTCCTTGAATTTAACTAAATTAAGTTCAAGTATAATGATTTTACTAAATTATTAAAACTTACGCAAGGGATTGTGACATATCTATAATCTACTACTTGGGAAGCTAAAGCAGGAAGCTCACTTAGCCCACGAGTTTGAGGCACCACTGCAAATGCTCATCTCAAAAAATGTCTTTAAAACTTAAAATTCATAAAACTAAAAAGCAAATAGACCTAACAATTTTCACTTTTTCAATTTTTCTTAATATTTAGATATAATCATCTAAACACATGATCTTTAAAGCTTAGCATCCAATAAAAACAAACACTGAAGTAGGATGCCTAAAAACACTGAGTAAGAGCAAAATTAATTGCAAAAATTCTAAATTTATCTACTATAAGGGAAACAAGGGGCTGGTGGGATGGCTCAGTGGTCTGAAGCACCTGCTTAGAGCAGGCTTAGCAAAGTACAGGGACCACGGTTCAATCCCCCAGCACCACATGCCAGCCAGCCCCGCCCCCTGGTGGGCTGAGCTGGTCACACACAATAAATAAATAAATAAATAAATAAATAAATAAATAAAAAAGGGAAACTATATGCCCATTGTATGATTATTTCAACACATTCATACCCCTCAGAGAGCCATCTCTGAAAAGAACTCTAAGTCATTTGCCAACAGCCACAAGACCACAATTGGGCAGGCCCTAAAAGGCTTGACAGGCCCTGCACAAGTTTAATGACCACAACACAATCAATTAGCAAGCTTATCTTTCCAAAAGCTCTTCTGACAAGTGTTGTGGGTATGCACAGGTGAACAAGTAGTGAGTATAAGTGGATGGTTTTGTGCAGTGAAGAAAAAAATGGTCTTATATGTTGAACTGCTTACTTTATGAGCACTGGCTGTGTCATACTGATGCTCTGATCTGCTACATAATAGCTATGATGTTAAAAGTGGCTTTTAGATCTCTCTGCTCACACAGAACCTTTAGTACATGGCATCCCCTCTTACATATCAAATAGTATTAACTACAAACCATACTAATAAGGATTCTGAAAACCTGAAATCTGCTCCTGGCTTATTTTTGGCTTATTATATGAATTCAAACTAGATATAATCTGTGCCTCCACATGTTGAAAACATCAAATGCATAGACCTCTTCTAATACCTTAAGATGAAGAGGCCTAAGAAATTTCATGGGGCCGATGAGATAGCTCAGTAGAATAAGCACTTGCCTGGCAACCGCAAGGGCCTGAGTTCAATCCCCAGTTCCGCAAAAAAAAAAAAATTCCTGAGGCCTAGTAAAATGAAGCATGGCATTCAATTTTTCTAGTGAAGGAAACATAAGAACATTACAAAGGCTTAAAAATTAAATGCCAAAAAATAATAAGAAAGCCATCGATTGAGAAGTTTCTATGTAGAAGATATTGTTTTAAGCACTTTCAAAAGGGCAACTGTTACCCCTAATGCAAACATGAGAAAATTAAGGACTAGAGATATGGAATAAATCGCCCACTGTCACACAGCTACAATACTGAGACACAAAACCTGAAGTTTGCCTTAACTCTGAACCTCTTAGCCTTTTAACAGCTGATTTCACAACTACAAATCAATCCCTTTTTAATCCTAGCTGAGGTAAAAATGAAAAATTAAAGTGAAAAAACAAATTTCCATCAGTTAATATCATTTTAAACCCAAATATTTTTCTTTGCCCAACATAAGGTAAACGAAACACTAAGCCATTATCTACTGGCCACAAGCAGGAATGGAACTGTTGTCCAAGAAAAGTTCTCCTGTAGATAAGCTAGAGAAGTCTTCATCTGGAGCAAGCTAAGCATCTACATCATAATCACAAGGGAGCCAGCTGTAAGCCACTATGAATAAATTACTGTGATAAATGCTATCAGTTGGGAGTCATAAGTTATTAAATCACTGTAGTGGTAAATCAAAACAGCTGAGCCTGCAGTACAAACTCTTACTTACTCCAGCATTTAGCAACGTTGTGACAACATTTTTGCCTGGGAGGCCTTGAATGGTTGTTCCTTTTCCTGTAGTTTTTTGCACAACAATCACATTGGGCTTGGAACTCATTGGGATTGTAGTGATTTTGGTAGTTGTTCCTTAGAGAAAAGAAGAAAAGGAGGCCTGAATTAAGAAGTAATGATGCTTGATTATTTCAGTTTATGTTGTACACAATATTCTTTAGTCAATGACATCTCTAAGTGGTGTGTAAATGCTATGACGGGATGAAAATGAAGGCTATGAACAGTAAGTTTACACAAATTATCCAGACTAAGAAATATTAAGAATTGACTCTTAAAGCAGTTATCTTTTTATACTCTAAACACCTACACACCAAATTCAGAATCTGAACACATCAATACTGTATCCACTCAATCCTCAATATTCCTTTCCTGACTAATTAAATGAAGTAAATCAAAATCTCTATTCCATATACATCTTTTTGTTTTTTTTTTTGCGGAACCGGGGATTGAACTCAGGCCCTTGTGCTTGCCAGGGAAGCACTTATTCCACTGAGCCATCTCCCTGGCTCTCCCATATAGATAGATAGATAGATAGATAGATAGCTCTTCAAAATATAATATTCAAGGTAAATATCAAGATTCACATACCAAGAGACTATTAAGGAGATTTAGGAACAAAAATAAGCCACGTGTTACATGATTTAAAAAGACAGGGTAGCAATAGTACATGCCTGCCTACTCTGGGAGGGAAAGGCAAAGGATTGCAAGTTTGAGTAATGAGCAGTGGGGACTAGGAGCTGGGGTGTATAGTTCAGTGTAAAGGCCTTGGGTTCACTCACTAGTGCCCCCAAAAAACAAAAACCATCTTGGGCCAGGGAGATGGCTCAGTAGAATAAGCACTTCCCTGGCAAGCGCAAGGGCCTGAGTTCAATCCCTGGTTCCGCAAAAAAAAAACCCAAAAACCACAATCCCTAGTGCCCCCCAAAAAACAACGAAGAAAACACAGAAATACCCTCCAATTAGGGCCGGGGAGATAGCTCAATAGCACAAGTGCATCCCTGGCAAGCACAAAGTCCTGAATTCAATCCCCAGTACCATCAGGAAGGAAGGGAGGGAGGGAGAGAAGGAGGAAGGGAGGGAAGGAGAGAAGGAGGAAGAGAGGGAGGAAAAGAGGGAGGGAGGGAGGAATTGACCAAGTTATATTCAATGTTTGCTTTTGTTAACTTGCAGAACTACATAAAGTATGAGGAAGAAGCTCAGATTTATCCAATATTAAGACCTAAATAGTGGGTATACCTACTGGTATAAATTACATTATCTTGCCTATATTTTTTCCTAATTTGCTTATATTTCTACCTCTCAAATCTACTTTAAAAAATGTATGCACTATATTTTTATAATTGTCCAAATTGAAAATCATGGTACAAATCCTTTGAGCTGTACACCAGCTTTTAATTCACTGATTTGAAAAAGAGGGGCTTCTCTATGAATTCATAGTAAAGGGTTTACAATTCTCACAAAATAACAGGATATGTATGGAGCAGAATAAAACACATGTCTGTGTTTCACAGCACATTACACAGTGCTTGGCTCACAGCACATCAAGAACCCACCTACACAGCCTATGCTTTAACAAAGCAAAATCACAATGGGTACAAATAACAATATGTCGCTTTTGGATCATCTATGAATGATCTAAGCTTCAGCATAAAGTACTTCTTCAACCATTACTTAACAAGGCTCACCAAAAAAATCTTATTAACAGTTATCTCATATATATTCATATAAAGAAATATATGACTCTGCAATATATGGGTGAAGTAACTATAAAAATAGTCATGCTCTCTAGTTATTGCTTATTTAAAAAAAAAAACATAACCTTTCTAGAAAGTACTGTGAACACATGCACCTGCTTTCTAAGCTATTTCACAAAGGAAGTTTGATTAAAAAGTAACATGTAGAAGTGTCATTAAGAGTTATGATAAAAAATATACAGCATGAGGCTGTCAAACACTATCTAACAGAAAGACAGGATTATAAAAGCATGTGGTATATACTCATTCATCTTACTCAGCAGATCTGGTTCTACATGGCTTCCCGCTCTTCCTCAAGTGACCATGAAATGTATGTTTTGAATCTACTCAGGCAGCCATGACAATACAACTAAAGACACTCAAGTACACAGACATCCAAAATTGCTTCAAAAAGTGGCAAGAATGACAGAATGTGTTTGAAATGAGCCAACTCTAATAGAAATTAATGGCAATGTATTTTGTGTAATAATTTTCTTTTTATTTTAAACATTCACCATTTTTTGCTACATTGTGTATAACATGGCCTTTACTTATAATGACAAAAAAACCTTACAACACGTAATGAGATGGTTAAATTTATGAAATGAGAGAATCGTAGGACTATTTTAATTTAATATACATTTTTACACAGATATTTATACAGGGAATGAATATACACTTAAATTTTAACACATTCTATGAGTGGTAAAAGTTACGTCTTAAATTTTTTTTTTTTTTTTTAGGGAAGGGTCTACAGAGTGTTCTGGGTCTCACTACTAAATTGGACTTGTAGTGATCCACCTGTTTACAGCCTCCCAAGAGCTGGTATTACAGGCGCGCGACACCACTCCCAGTCTCAATCACCCACTCTGCGCGCCAGCATGGCAGGCCCAGGGATCAAATCCCTGGCCCCTGTGCCTGCTTGCAGGCGCTTTAGTCCACTGAGCTATTTGGATGGATCTAAATATTCTTTATACCTTGTTAAACTCTTCCAAAACAAAAGGGTAAGTTTGTTGTTGTTTAGTAATTAGTTTTTTTGAAAAAGGATCTTAGTACATAGTTCAGGCTAGCCTTAACTCAGTATGTAGCCCAGGCTGGTCTAGAACTCAAAGATCCTGGGGCCTTAGCCTCCACAATGTCAGGGGCCAGGGAGATGGCTCAGTGGAATAAGTGCTTCCCTGGCAAGTGCAAGGGCCTGAGTTCAATCCCTGGTTCTGAAAAAAAAAAAAAAAATACTGCCACAATGCTAGGATTACAGGTATGTGACATCATGCCCACCCTGTTGTTACTATTCAGGTCTTCATTTTTATTGCTAGATGTCTATTTTAAGAAAATTTCTTCTTTATTTGGGGGAAAGGAAACTCTAAAACTTACCATCTGCTCATGAATGAAGGTAACAAACTCTAAAATTACTCACTTAGGCTACTAGTATACTATAAATATAGCACAGTGATTAAAAACTACAACAGGGGCCAGGGAGAATAAGCGCTTGCCTGGCAAGTGCAAGGGCCTGAGTTCAATCCGCGGTTCCACAAAAAAAAAAAAAAATTACTAATAAACTAACATGGAACAATAAAAGTAAAACATAAGACAACTACCTTTACAAAGCACAGTGATGTATAATATTAGAATTAGCTTATAGTAGCCAGAAACAAGAGGAAAACTTGGAATGAAAGCATCAAAACAGTGAAGGAAACAAATAATAATCTCCATGTAACAAAGTTGCTTCAGCTATGCCAAGTATATCCTGCATGCTGGAAAAGTTTAAGAATTCTTCAGACATATACCTGTGGTTAACAGAAATAGCAACTAACCACAAGTGGCTTTATATTTAACCCACAGGTGGATAATATGTACTTACATATAAAATACATATATCTCAAATTAAATCTTTCCTTCTAGGAAAATGTACTTGATTAATATTGCTCTAACCAAGAACAAAGTAGATAAATCATGAATAAGGTCTAAAATTAGAGGGCCCATGACATCTAAACATTTGTTCAAATTATATAACATTACAAATTCATATACAAAGAAAACACCTTAAAACTGTACAAAGCTATCACCCAATGCAAAACATTTTAAAATGTTTAATGAAGTGTATTATTTGAAGATATTTTCAAGTAGTAAATTGTAACTTGCACTTAACTGTGTTATATAAAATATCCTCTTAAAAGCTGGCGTATAATGATTCTTTCTCTACTGATTTCACCCTCCTTGGCTTGGCAAACACTGGATTTTCTCACTTACACTTAATAGTGCCAAAGTTGACAGCTTTAAATATGGTGTTTTATGTCAATACTATGCCTGTTTGCTTTTTCTTCATTCCCAGAGTTATCAGCAACATCAAGTTACTGCCAGGAACTTCAATTCTTTGACTTTGTAAAGTTAGAATAACTCACCAGGGGCATACAAAATATGATTAGTCTATAAAATTAAAATCCTAAACCTTGCTTAATCCAAGACTGTTTATATCAATTTAATTAAAAATTAATACTCAGTGAAAACACACACTATCTTAACATTCCACTATGGGGTCCACAACCCAAATATTTTAGGGATTAATGAGCCCATAAAAACCATGCATGGTTTCAATATACCATAAAATAGGCATATGGTTAATCACCATTATCTAAATAATTTTCAAAAAGCAAACATAGTGGAAGTCAAACAGATATTCAAATATTTTTGCTTTTAATAAACTAAAGTGATGCTAGTAATTGAAATAATGAACTATGTTCCTTCAACATATTTAGATGTATAAATAATTTCATTATTCTATTTTGTGCAGCCTTGGACAGGTCAACACCTGTAACTCAAATTTCTCATTTGTGAAGTGAACACAGTAACTATTATTTTAAGAGTTGTTAAGAGGGCTCAATGGGTTGACAAATGAAAGAATATTTTGTAGGCTGGGGACATAGCTCAGTGGCATAAGTGCCTGCCTGCCAAACACAAAGTCCAGAGTTCAATCCCTTGTACCAAAAAAGAATATTTTGTAAATAAAAATACCTCTATGTAAAACGAGAAAAGGAAAAAATAAAAAGCTTTTGTAAATAAGGAGAAAAAGGGTTAAAGAGAGGGGGAGGGGAATGAGAAAAGAAGAATCAGATTTTATCATGTACAGGTACAAATTCCCTATGATGAATGAAACACAAATAAATTCTTTTAAATCTCTATGTAAATATAAACCATAATCTTTGCATTATGATTATAAACTAAATGTTCTAATTTTAAACTGTCAAGTTTTATATGTAAATATTTAATAGTAAAACTAAAGACTATACTTAATCACTAAACATGAAGGCTGAAAACAAATGGTTAGATTGCTATATAAAAAACAGATCAAACAAAATTCTTCAATATTGAAATACCCATTTTCCCTCTCACTGAAGGTCACTTACACAATGAAAGTCACATATTTAAGATATACCTACCAGAAACTATATTACTGCTAATTATCTTGCCCCCCAAGGTAGCTAATGATTTTGGTACTACTGTAATGATGCTACCACTGGTAGTTTTCACATAGGTTGCAGCTCCAGGGGTTGCAGCCATCCGACCTATGGATGGGCTCACTGTTGGCCGGGTATATGTTGCCTGTGTGCCTATAAAAGGAAAAAGCCAAAGAAAGAAAAAAAAAAATCACTGCTTATAGAAAAATGATAATTTATAAAGTTTACTCAGAATTCAATGTAACTGAATCAACACTGTTTTAATTTGAAAATAGAATTTCAAGATATCAAGACATTAATTTACAGTTTTATAGCTAGTTTTAAGGCACACAGCAAGAAACAAAGTCAAGTCAATGTCAATTAATTTTACACATAAAATATTGTGATGTTGCATCAAGATACTTACCCAAGAAAAAGTAGAGCTAACCCTGCTCCCTTCTTTCACTACTTATGTCAAAAGAAATTTAAACTTAATAATCTCTCATCACAGCATTTTAGATGATTCTGCTGAAGATTTTAAGTTCTCTGCATCTGTTTGGGTCTATCTGAGTGCCAAACCCAACACCAGCATTCAAAAAATAAGGTACTACTACTTGCCCAAAATTTTATAAACTTCGACCGTTCTGTACTGTTACCCTCTAAATATATTTCCATCTTTTAAAGCATAACATTACTAGAGATTAATGTTGAAGCTGCCAAGAGTAGCAAGGAATACTGCTCTTCTGCCAAAGATTTTCTGTATTTACATACTTTTTCAATCTTAACTGATCTGTCAGAATATTTTTTTCTTACATTGCTCAGAAGATTTTACAACCTTCCCCACGACTTCTAGGACTTGACTCCCAAACAGGTATTAAACACTAGCTAGATGAGACTGTTGTAGTGTTTTACAAATTCAGTAACTCAGAAGGAGTATTCTAAAGTAAGAATTACAACCTTAGGGAAAACAAAAAATAGTGACAACACCTTCAACAAGTGAAAATTTTTTGATGATCATTTTCAACAATTCTCTCATCTTGAAAAAAATGCTGGTAGCAAGTTATTCACCTTTTAAAAATATAACTAATAGTCAAACAAGGGAGGAGCAAAGAAACATTTAATAAAATTAACTTAAACTGGTTACAAGTACACATCAGAATTAGAAAAAAACCTAGTACAAAGTAAATATGCCACAGGGACACAAAATTTGAATGTTCTGAATTATAAATGAAAAAGATTTCAACTTCAGCTATTGCTTTATAAAGGAAACACGTATTTTAATATAGCAGACACAAATTTATTTTTCACTATCCTTAACATGAGAAACAATACAATTATCATTAAGTCAAAAAGAAAAGCTTGGAGTAAGAACGATATTGCTAATACAAGAACAATAGTGTTTAAAATAGAGGCAGAAGGTAAATGGTGGTTACCAAGCACTGAAGGAAAGGAAGATGGACAGTGTTTTTTGGGTACAGTGTTTCAGTGTGGAAAAAGAAAAGGTTCTGAAGATGTATGGCAATGGCAGTTGCACAACAACATACATGTATTCAATGCCAATAAAATGTACATTTGAAAGTAGTAAATTTCATATCAAGTATACCTTAGGACAAGTTCTAAAAAATAAAAATAAAACATAAGATTTTAGAGTTAAACAGGTATGGGTTCAAATTCCAGGTTTCCCTTATTGATTTCATGACCATAAGCAAACTGCTTAATGTAGGTCATTGAAAACAGGACTAATAACAAAGAGTAAGCTCAATGTTTGCACAGACCTTTACATATTAGCCAATAAATGACAGCTTATAAAAACCAAAACAGATATCCTTTTATACAATTTATATACTTTCTTCTAAATATTATCCCTCCTTGGGGCTGGTGAGATGGCTCAGTGGTCTAAAGCACCTACTTAGAACAAGCTTAGCAAAGCACATGGACCAAGGTTCAATCCCCCAGCACCACATGCCAGCCAGCCCCGCCCCCTGGTGGGCTGAACTGGCCACACACACACACACACACTAAAATAAATAAATTAAAAAAAAAAATTATCCCTCCTAAACATTTTTATAAACATTTAAAATAATAGAAATGGCTAATTCTAATATTAACAGTTACTGAGTATTATAAGGGACTTTTTACATACTTGATGGTATTTAATACTTAAAATAATCTTAAGAATTACAGTGGTGCCTCAGTTCATGAATTTGTTTCACGATTTTGGAAAAGACTGCCACATTGGTCAGGTGTGGTGGCACACACCTGTAATCCCAGCACTCAGAGGCAGAAGGATTGTCACAAATTTGAGGCCCACCTGGGTTGCACAGTGAATTCAAGGCCTGCCTAAACTGCACAATGAGACCCTGACTTAAAACAACTAAAAATCAAACAAACAAAACACAGACTGCCACATTTGCATTTGTGTGGGAAAGATGACTGCAGTCATGTTTGTCACCCAATGCAGTTTACAAACAAAAACAAAAATTTTGACCGATGCTTCTGTTTGCAAACCAAATTATATGTAAACAGAAACATTCCTGAACCTATATAGCACTGTACTATTCCATTTAAACAAGAAAAACTTAGATTAAGTAGCCTGCTAACGGTACCAAAGGGTATGCTATTCTAAGTGATCTACACTGTCATTTCCCCAAGCATAGGCTGATCATTCTCTTTTGTAAGTTTAATGGTACCTCATGCTTCCCACTATCTCCATTAACACTTACTAATACAGTAATGTAACACAGACTCTCAACTGCAGCAGAGTAACACCCTTGTAGACTGGGAATGTTTTCATTTGCTCAACAAATTCTGACTACGCAGCTACCGGCAAGCATGTGCTGTATGTGTGTGTACATGTGTGTAGGCATGCACACACATTCATATATTTGAAGCATCTGGTCTAAAAAGAAAACAAAACAACAACAACAAGCTAATAATCAGACATGTGACAAGTGCTATAAATGAAAAGAACTAAGGATCATGAAAAAGAATAAGAAAGCTAATTTCAGAGAGGTGGGGGACAGGGTGTGTCAAGAAAAGCCTCTAAAGAATTATCTCATTCATTTCTAGATGTTCGGTGTCAAACATATTGCTGGTACAAAGAAATTACCTGATGACTATATAAATAAACAACTGATATCTACAAGAACTTACCAGTAGGAGCAGTTACCAGTTTAGTTGTCATAATTGCACCATTACTGCTAACTACCATAATGGGGGAATTGCTACTGGTGGGTAGAGTTGCAGTCACTGGTTTGGGTAAGATTTTACTTGGTTGAACTTGTTGCGTGATGATTTTAACACCTTTGAAAGAAGAAAGATTAATCTCAGTAAAATTTTTTAATACATGTCCCTTATACCAATCCAAGAGGGTAATAATCATAAATATTTACTCAATCTTACCTACAGATGCTTTTTTAATATTAATGAAACTCTAAAATTCTGTTCCTAAATTCCTGTCTTCCCTAATTTCTCTCATTCCAGGAATGAAACTAAAACATTACAATAACAAAATTCTTCATCTCGATTTTTTTTTAAGACACATTCAATGTCTATGTAACAAAGGCTGGGCTCAAACTCACAAGATCTTCCTATATCAGCCTCGCAAGTGCTGGGGTTATAAGTATATGCCACAATCGTTCATGCAAGACCTCAACTCAAGAACAAAACAGAAAATGATCAAAAAGATGTTGAAAACTGTATAGACCAAAAACATCAGTTATCCGATTTTAAAAATAATTTCTTTTAAAGAACAGCCCTTTACATCAAGTACTAACTACAAAAAGAAAAGAATTATTGCACCAACATAAAATCTGATTTTGGATAAGAATTTGAAGGGACTATGCAAAAATGAACTTAAATGGTAGGATAGTCATGTTATTTTTTCACATTTTCAGAACAGAAACTGTGATAACAAGCAAAACTATCTTCCAAAAATGAAGATGAAATAGTCTAACAGATAAACAAAAACTGAAAAAAATGTTTTGCAGATCAGCCTTATAAAACATTAAAAGAAGCTCTACGACTATAAGGAATAAGCCCACAATGTCTGCTCTTGCTTCCATCCAATAATGCATTTACTAGAAATTCTAACAAGGAAATTAAGTAAGAAAAAAGACAGACAGACAGACAGACAGACAGACAGACAGACAGACAGGAAGGAAGGAAGGAAGGAAGGAAGGAAGGAAGGAGGGAAAAAGGGAAAGAGGAAAGGAAGGAGGAGGGGAAGAGGGAAGGAGAGGAGGGGAGGAGGGAAAAAGGGGAAGAAAAGGAAAGTAGAAAGAGAGAGAAGAAAAGGCATCTAGATTGCCACAAAGAAACTACCTCTATTGCAATGACATGAACCTAAAACATTAAAAAAATAAAAAATAAAAAAAAATAAGGAATCCATTAAAAGTCCATTTTTTTTCTTTTACTTAAGAGATGGGGAACCAGTGAGATAGCTCAGCAGACTAAATGCCTGCTTAGGCAAGCATAGGGACTGGGGTTCAATCCCTAGCACCACATGCCATGTGGGGCCCCATCACCAGGTGCACTGAGCCAGCCAACAAGACAGGGCGTGGTGGTGCCTGCCTATAATCCCAGTGCTGGGGAAGGCTGAAAAGAGGAGGATCACTGAGAGTCCAAGCTGCGTTGTGAGACCCTGTACCAAATACATAATAAAAAATAGAAAATAAAAAAAGAAATGGGTCAAAGGAGTATGGTGGCAGCAGTTTGTAATCCTAGCACCTGGGAGGCTGAGGCAGGAGGATCACTGCAAGTACAAGTTCAGCACAGACTACATGAAGAAACGCTTTCTAAAAAAAAAAAAAAAAGCTCAATGCTATTAGTCATGAGATAAATACAAAAAAAGCAAAATGAAATATTTCACAGAAACTAGGATAATTAAAATAAAAAATTAAGAGACTGACAAATGTAGACAAAGGTGAAGAGCAACTGGAACTTTGATACATTCTTGTTGGGAATGTAAAAATATATAACTGCTTTGAAAATAATAAATAATTATTTATTTCTCAATTTAATATAGATTTACCATACAGTCTACAATTTCAATACTAGGTATACACATAGGAAAGCAGGCTGTGGATAGTTCAGTGGCAGAGATCTTGCCCCTTAGACCATGCATAAGGGGCCCTGGGTCTAATTCTTACCACTACAAAGCAAAAACACAGGGTCGACCTGATAGCTCAGTGGACTAAGCAGAACGCAGTGGCCAGGGTTCGATCCCCAGTGTGCCGTGCTGAGACAGCAATAGAGACTGGGCATGGCAGTACATACGTGTAATCTCAGTACTTGGGAGGCTGAAAACAGGAGAATCACTATGAGTCCAATCTACGTAGCGAGACCCTGAAGACCCTGCAAACCCTGTCCTAAATACAGGGAAAAAAACCACAAAATAAACCTCTATCAAATTGACAAACCACATGGAAGCCTGAGGAATAAAAAAAGAGAAGGAAAAACACCACCAATATAAGAAATGAAAAAGGGAACATTAGTATAGATCATACAAAAACTACTTTAAAAAGTAATGAACTATAGCTAACAAATATTCAACCATAAATTTGACAATTTAGAAAAAAATTGGTCAATTCCTTAAAACACATGAAATACAAAAACTCAACAAAGATGAAACATAATCCCAATAAACAGTCCTCTAATCATTAAACAAACTGAATTCATAATTTTAAGGCCCCCCAATATAGAAACCTTCAGTCCCAGATAGTTTCTCTAGAGAAGTCTACTAAACATTTAAAGAATTAACAGCATTCTTACTCTATCTCTTTAATAAACTAGAAAAGAATTACTTCCAAATGTATTTTCTAAGGCCAGTACAACCTGATAGAAAAATTAGATAAGTACATCATAAAATTTTAAAAACTATAGTCCAATGTCTGTTATGAAAAGATAAAAACTGAATCTAGCAATATATAAAAACCTTCCATAACCAAGAGAGGTTTATTTCAGATACACAAACCTAACTCAACAGAAAATCAGTGTAATCTAGAATACCAAAACAATAATGGGGCCGGGGAGATGGCTCAGTAGAATAAGTGCTTCCCTGGCAAGCGCAGGGGCCTGAGTTCAATCCCCGGTTCCAAAAAAAAAAAAAAAAAATTACATACAAATAAGCATATATATAATTTGGAGCTGGGGAGATGACTCAGTGGAATAAGCGCTTCCCTGGCAAGCACAAGGGCCTGAGTTCAATCCCCGGTTCTGGAAAAAAAAAAAAAAAAAAAAAAAAAAAAAAAAAAAAATAAATAGGATATCAAAACAATAAACAAGAATGATCCTATCAACTGAACAGAAACTAAAGCATTTGACCAAAGGAAAAAAGTGCTAGGGCCAGGGAGATAGCTCAGTGGTCTAAGCGTTTGCCTGGCAAGCACAAGGACCCAAGTTCAATCCCCAGTACCACATGTCATACCACCCTGTGCCAAGCTGGCCACAAAAATGGGGTGTGGTGGCACACAGCTATAATCCCAGCACTTTGGTGGCTGAGACAGGAGGATCACTACAAGTCCAAACTGTACCAAGTAAATAAATAAATAAGATTTAAAAAACAAAAAAGTGCCAAATGAGTATGAATGGAAGGGAAATTGATAAACTTGACAAAAACCTACAGCTGTCATCATATTAAATGGTGAAGACTAATGTCTTTACCTTACGATTAGAAACAATGCATGGACATCTACTCTACTCCCTCAAATATTAATTCATGAAAGTTCTACCCAGTGGAATAAAACAAAAAGAAAGAGAAAGGGAACAGGAAAGAAAGAGAGAAGGGAAGGACAAAGAGGAAGGGAGAAAGAAAAGGAAAAAAAAAATGTAGGAATAAAAAATGAATGAAGAAAGTGGATATTGACTAGAAACAAAGGAAAAAATGTATTTACACATAACTGGAAACTTCTATCTATGTAGAAAATGCCAAGGAAGCTAAGTAAAGACAACTAGAAATAAGCGAGATTAGTAAAGTTAAAGATACAAATTCAGTATTAACTTTTATACCCTAAACACAAACATGAGAAAATTGAAATTAAAATCATACCACCTTTATAACCATGCCAAGAACATGAAATACTTAGGCACAAATCTAACAAAATATGTACAACATCTGTGTGCTGAAAAAAGAAAAAAGTCAAAGAAGATCTAAATAAGTGGAGATATACAATATACACAGACTGAAAAACTCAAGAGAACTGGTGAACAGAATGAGCATATCGTATAAATATTTTCCAGTTACCTGACTCCTGTTTGATTTGGATGGTAGGTTTTATACCAGGTGGCAAAGAAGACTGCTGAGGTTGCTGCTGATGAGATACTAGAGAAGGCTGAGCTACAGAAGGCTGTGTCTGTTGTTGTACTTGATGTAACTGCTGCTTAGGAGATTGTTGATGCTGTTTAGGAAACTGTGCAAGAATCTGAGTCGGGGTACTCACTAAGCTTTTGGGGGAAGGAAGCCTTGTTGTTGCCATTTTGATTGCTGATGTAGATACACCTACAGAAATATGAAGACAATGTGAGAGGAAAACAATTAAAATTACTTTGGGTTATAGTAGATGATAGTTTAAAATACAAGTAAATCAGTAAAAACTATGATTTACTGAGTACCTAGTAAGTATGAGATATTATGTGTGGTGTTTTACAAATTGGATATATATTCTTCTACTGGTAAGGAAGGCATCTTCTCTCACAGGCTCAAGAAAAAACTGACTTTCCTTTGGTCAAGTGTTAGAATGAGAAAATCATGTATGTAAACAGGTCTCTTTTTAGAAAATAAACCAGTTAATTTAATTAATCTTTAATACATTTTTAAAATATTACTTGAGTTATGTTTATGATAAAATACAACATTCATCTTTTGAACTAATCAGCAAATAAAAATCTAAAGCTATACAGTTTTTCTATATTTTATTTCCAACTACCTATAGCTATTTACTGACAATACTTAAATAGTACTGCAAAAAGTTATAATCATGAGAGATGGATCAGTGGTCTAAGTGTCTGCCTGGGAAGTACAAGGACCCAGGTACAATCCCTGGTACCACATGCTGTGCTGCCATGCCAACCACCGAAATTGGGCATGGTGGTGCACAACTGTAATCCCAGCACTGGGAAGGCTGAGACAGGAGGATCACTACAAGTCCAAGTTGCATAGCGAGACCCTGTACCAAATAAATAAAAGATTTTTTTAAATGTTATAATCATGCACTATATACCCACTGCCAAAAGGGTAGGATGATATAATATTGTTTGTTTCAATAAAATATAAGAATTGAGGGTAGATCAACATAATACTGTCCTTTTCAGTACAGTACCAGTATTGAAGCACACATAGGTAAAAAGTACTAGTAACTTCCAGTAAAGATGTATGAGTCTGAGAAATTCTTCCCTCTGCTAGATATTTTCATCTGAATTTTCTTATCACCCATCAACTACTCAATAGGACTACTTGCCCATGAGCTAATATTCCTGTGATAAGCAGAATGCAATTCACCACGTTAATTTTTTGTTGTTTTTTGTTTGTTTGTTTTTGGCGGAACCAGGGATTGAACTCAGGCCCTTGCGCTTGCCAGGCAAGCACTTATTCTACTGAACCATCCTCCTGGCCCCACCACGTTAATTTTTAAGCACGGCTGAATCAATAAAAAGAAACTAATAAACCCAAACTAGGTGTGGTGCACATGCCTATAGTCATAGCACTTTGGGAGATTGAGGCAGGAGGATCACAAGTTTGAGCTCATCCTGGGCAATTTTGGACTAAAGATTTAACTGAGTACAAAATAAAGGGTAATGATATAACTCAGTGCAAAAGTTCTAGGATCAATTCTCAGTACTTCAAAATAAGGAAAAAAACAAACAGCTTAATTCTATGGTACTAGAGATACTATTTCACCCTCCTTCCACCACATTTTTACCATGATAATTAACTCTATAAAAGGTGATATAAATATATGTATTTCCCCCCTCCTGTGGTGCTGGAGGTTGAATTCAGAGCTTCATGCAGGCTAGGCAAGAACCCTACCACTCACATCTTATGTAAATGTGTCTAGTGAATAATAAAGATGGAGTGGGATAAATCTTGACGAGTCACACTAACTCTCAATACCTTAGATTTCTCCACTGTTGAAATTTTCTTTGTCCTACCCACCTAAAAGTGGCTATGTGGATTAAGTAAAACTAAAGATTGAGGAATGCTTTAGGAGACAAAAAGTACATTCAAAATTACCTAGAGAACCTATTCATATTAAACATTTATACCTGCTTCATCACCACCCCCATACTGGTACACAAGTTGTTATTTTAGTGACATGTGTTCCTTATTGCTTTGTTGTGTTAAATTCTCATTGAAGCAGCACATTTGTTGCCAACATTTTTTTTTTTTTATTTTAACATTTAGTGTGTGTGTGTGTGTGTGTGTGTGTGTATGTGTGTGGCCAGCTCAGCCCACCAGGGGGCGCGGCTGGCTGGCATGTGGTGCTGGAGGATTGAACCGCGGTCCCTATGCTTTGCCAAGCTTGTTCCAAGTAGGTGCTTTAGACCACTGAACCATCTCTCCAGCCCCGTTGCCAACATTTTATGATTAAATGTTACACAAGTCAATACTACTTTTTAAACTTAAAAAATTAATGTCTACAATACACTCATAATGTATGATCCTATCCTATTTAAGTTAATTGTGCATACTGGTAACTCCCTAAATTAACTATGATAGCCAGATTTTTTTTAATAGGAAAAGTAACTGATGTAAAAGTATACAATGTGACTTCAGAATGAGGTATTATAATTGTATCTAAATGAAGCCTTCAAGTCATAAATACATAAAAGCTTTATGACCTGACTAAAGTACTTGGCTTTTCTGAATATTTATTCATTCAATATGAATTTGTGAAGTACATAATGCTACATCTTGAGTAAACTATTTCTTATTCATGAAAAACAAAAGCCATGTAAGTAAAAAGATGATAAATATTTTATACATGTTTGCTTTTTTAGGATGCTCTCCAGTAAAAGGTTGGAACCCAGGGACTCTCATATGCTAGGCAAGCACTCAACCACTGAGCTACACCTGCAGCCCATCAATTATTTTTAGTCACAGAAATTATTCTTCTTATATGTTGTTTTTGTTTTGTTTTGAATAGAATAAAAACAAGGACTCAATAGTGGCCAGATAGCAGTACAATACTCCAAGATGTTATGATTTAGAGGAACAAAGTAATATATACAACAAACTTTATAAAAAATCCCAATCCTTTCAATTGGTAATTTTTCTCTTGATGCTGGTTCTAATAAAAATAAAAAGCCCAACTAAACTCACAAAACTGGAGATAATCTAAATATCTCACCATAAGAATAATAAATTATGCAGTGGTAACAGAAATACTAAAAGCATTAAAAATAATTAGTGTAATTAGAGAAAAACAAAAGCAATGTTAATGAAACAAACCTCTAAGAAAGCACACAAGTGAATTATGAATTTTTTTATTCCAAGTATATAAAAAATATGAGACCTGAGTAAAAGGCTGTAACAGGTAAAATCCAAACTGGTATAGTGATATGGTGGCAGGATTACTCATAGCATTTATTCTCTATTATCTTCTAAAATTATTTAATCCAGTAATACTTTCAGATCTTAAAATTTTTTAAATACTTTTAGCTACTAAATGGGAATTACATATGAATTGATAGGATTGGTGAATTTTACAAAACAGGATTTCAGGAATAGAAAAGAGAGATTCATCTGAGCCAGCCTAAAGAAATTAAGAGAGTAGTACTAGTCCATAGAATGTAATTAGAAGCAACTTGTTTCTGAAGCTCAAATAAGGTTAAGGAGGGAAAATAAAAAGTTAACAAAAGATAGTCTTGGATAAATAATTTGTGAAATCCCCAAAAGAATATGAGCAAAAGAATAAGATGAAAGAGAATTTCCTTCAACAAGAAAAGAGAGTCAACTATGAAAATACACTCAACTAAAAATAAATTATTTCCTTCTAAAAATTTAAAAACCACACTTCAATTATCACTTTTCTAGGCCAGATGAGGTGGAGCACACCTTTAATCCCAGAACTCTGGAGACTGAAGCAATAGGATCATTATGAGTTCAAGACCAGCCTGGGCTATAAAGCGAGCTCAAGGCCAACTTGAACTACACAGTGAGACCCTATCTCAAGAAAAAAAGAAAATCAGTTACCACTTTTCTGATTACCAGCACAACAATTATAATTGCCAAGTTTAAAATCATCACTTCCAAATGTTAAAATGTACAACTCTGTATATTTTATCTTTTAAGAAAAAAGCAAAAATTTATACACATATGTGTGTATACAAACGATTTATATTCTAAGTGTTTACAAATAGAAGAATAAAAAATAATTAAAAGAAAAAAGATTATGAGAGAAAACTGGGAATAGGAGCCATAGACTTAAAAAAACCTAAATAACCCACTAATTTGTATTCTTAAACAAATGAAGGTGAAGGAGTAAGTAATCACTGATCTAACTTCATATACCCAAAGCACAAAAACATGCCTACATAATTTCCTCCAAGACTCCCGTATGCCAACAAGGACAAATTAAACGGTGAATTACCACTCACCTTGTGCTACTGTTGACATGACCACAGATGGTGTGGAGGATACGACAGCTGTTACCGCAACTGTACTAGGTATAGGTGATGATGTAGAACTGCTGCTGCCACTGGTACTACTACTGACCAGGGAGGACTGTGAAGCAGTTATAACAACTGGTGGCTTCTGAGTTGTGGAAGCAATGACTGATGTTGGTACAAGCTTAGTGACCGCTGCATAATTATGGGATTTGGAGAGAATGTTGGGTACGAAGGTAGAACTTGGTGATGTGGTCACTATAATAACCTAAGAAAGGAAATACAAGTTATTTTCTTGTATCTACTATACTATTAATATATTTATGCTCATTGTTGTATACAATTCAAAAATGCTTTATGAAATGAAAAAAATTCAACACAAATATACAACTAAAAAAGAAAGTTTTCCTTTATTAATCTTGATATTTAAAAACAATTTTTGTCAATCAAATACTATAAAAGGCCATATCCAGTGTTGCACAAGATGTAACACAGCAAACATTTCAACATGCTCATTAAGGAACATAAATAGGCATAATCTTTCAAGAAAGCAATTTGGACATTCGTTCATTATTTATTTAATATTTATTGAGCATCTACTATGTGCCAGGCATGGTTCTAGATGCTGGGGTAGAAGAATGAACAAATCAAAGTTCATACTTCCATGCAATTTATATTGTACTAAAGGCAGAGAAACAATAAAAAAGTAAATATATGTCATGTAGATACAAATGGAACAGATAATAAAGCAAGGTAAGGGAATATAGAATGATAAGGGTGTTATATGATTTTTAAAAAATAAAGTATTGGGCTGGTGAGATGGCTCAGTGGTCTAAAGCACCTACTTAGAACAAGCTAAGCAAAAGCACAGGGACCGCGGTTCAATCCCCAGCACCACATGCCAGCCAGCCCCGCCCCCTGGTGGGCTGAACTGGCCACACACACACAAAATAAATAAATAAATAAATAAATATTTAAAAAAATAAAGTATTAGTGAAGACCTCTATATAAGGTGACATCTGAGCAGAAACCAAAGGAAATAGGGCTATGAGCTCTATTAAACCTAAAAAAACAATCCAATGCACAACAAAAACAAGTCGTAAGGCAGAAGCACACTTCATATGTTCAAGAACCCTTATGGACCTAATAAATAGGGTTGAAACTTACAAGGTAGAGAACAACAGGCCTTAACTAGAGAAGCAATGGAGGACTAGATCATTTAAGACTATGAAAATAGCTTATATAATTAATATGATGTGCTCTTCTTCCCCAAAACCAGTAATTCTAATCAAAAGAAATATATTTGAGAAATCCAAATGGTAGATATCCTACAAAATATCTAACCTGTACGCCTCAAAACTGTCAAAGTCCTCATAAACAAAGAAAGTTTCATAATCAAGATGTTAAGGAGACATGACAAGCATGTAGATACCTTGGATGGGATTCTGGAACAGAAAAAGACTAAGTAAAACCCAAAGGAATCTGAATAAACTGGATTTCAGTTAATATTAGCACATTAATATTATTAAAACAATGTATCACAATAATGAAAAAATGTTAAGAATGGGGAAACTAAATAAAAACATAAGAATTCTCTGTACCATCCTCTCAACTTTTAAGTATATCTAAAACTTTCAAAAAATGTGTTTTTTAAATGTTCTATTATATTGTAAGGTAGAAAGTAAAAACAAAGACAAATTAGAAAACTCTCATAATAAACCAAGAAGAGAATGGTGACCAAATTGTCATGAATGTTAACAGATTCTGATTATAGCTTAAAGGTAAAACCAACAGGATTTCCTCATAGATTGATGTAGAAAACAGAGGGGGGAAAAAAGCAGGGAAGAGACATCAACATTTACCAGTATGGTCAAAAAGACTTGATGATTCAGAGACAATGTATTTCAGAGGGAAAGAATAGTACAATACCAGAACTGGTTTGATATACTCAAAAATAGACAGTGTAGCAAAAGCACGTAAGGCAAAGAAAAATAAGAAAAGGAATTTGAGGCTAGAACAAATTTAAAAACCATAAAGAATTTAGATTTTATTCTAAGAATAATGGATCCACAGGAAGATGTTGAGTATAAAAACAATAAAATATGATTTTTATTTAAAAGATCACTCCAACTGCTAGATAATGAGAGGCAAGAGTAGAAGCCGAAGAAGAGCAGTAGACCAAGCAAGAAATGACTACTCTGAGAGGCTGAGAAAAAGTTATTGATAATGAAAATGGTAGGGTTAGGAAAAAAACAAAATCAATCACTCTAAAATCAATCACTGACTTATTTAAATCTCTCCAAATAACTCCATCACATAGATACTATTATTATCCCCATTTTATAGTTGAGAATATAAAAATTACTTCTGCATCTATAACATCACAGTTTTACTTTGGGATGGATATTAATAGTGCTGTAGCAATTCCTAAAACAGAACAGAGTATCTTTTTTCACTGAAATTGTACCACCTGGGATATCTCTAGGAATTTAGGAATCCTTTTTTAATTTTTACTGCTCTTAAAGACCTGAGGCTAAGTAAGTCTAAATATTTGAATATGTACTGAACTCGGTGCTCAGTACCTATAGTCCAAAGGACATTTTATTTTCAGTGTCATAAAGGATTACAAGATAAAAGTACTTGCTTTCGTTGAGGTGTCAAGAAAGTTACAAACATAAATCTTGACCAACAAATACTTATAGAGAGCTCACTTGCATACTTAAATATACAATCAATAAACACCTGTATAGTATTATCAGAAAACCACCAGAAGCATCGTACAACTGAGAAGTAAACCAATATGGAAATAGAACCACAAACTTAAGAATCAAATGAGTCTGTACTTATATCTTGCATCTATCACAAATGGCAGGCTCCTGGACAAGTTAAAATCTCTAGGTTCCAATTTTCATCTGTACCATGAGGATAATAATACCTACCTTGAAAATGATTACAAGGATTAGATGAGATAATCAAGTGCAGCATCTACATACTAGGCACATAGCAGGTGGTCAATATTTGGCAGTTAACAAACAAACTTATTAGTAAATATTATTCCTACTTAAGAAATATTGAAGGGATATTAGTAAAGATATTATAGACCAATCTAGAAATTGCTTGAATATTTTATTTTTGTTTAATTAAAAATATTTTGTTTACCCCAATTCTGATATTCTTTATAATCCAAAGAACCCATAATTAGTTACTACCAACCAAGCTAATTACAGTAGTAATAGCAATTCAGTTTCACTTCTGTCAATTCTGAACCAAGAGTAATTTTCTAGAGGCACATTTTGTCAAAGTTCAGCAGGACAAGTATGCCACAATTGATTAGTAATGCTCATAGTGGGCAAAGGAAATGGAAATAATCACACTTATAATTGAATATTTGCAATTTCAGAACAAGAGTATGGATGTGGGTGGGATTCTAACATACATTTTTAAACTTTGGGAAAGTCTAGTCTTTAGGAGTTTGTTCTGTAATATAGATACAAACAATAAAACTGATTTTGAGATTTTAAAGTACAAGAAGACTCCTGCTCTGTAATAGGACTACTCAAAATTAAATTCACCTTGGAGAAATCTTTTTGCCCTTAAAAGTTACTTATTAAAACAGAGGAAATAAAGGGATTTGAAACCAAGTGAACCAAGCAATGTTTATTCAGGCCATAATTTAAATTACTGACCTTCTAGCACTCACAAAAACTCCTTAAGAGTGCTGGGACTTGCACCCTAAGGACAAAATGAAAAATATCAATCAAGCACATGAAAGCATAAAGCTATATTCTGTTGCTTTTATATCAGTGTTGTACCAATGTCATATTTAAACGAAGGTACCATATTAAATTAACATAGGTGGAAATTTGTCTATCCTGAAAATGTACAACCTATCTGAATTTGATTAAAATGCAAATAATATATCATACTTAATGTAAAAAATATTTTATATAAAACAATTCCTAAGTTGCTTTACACAAAATTTGTGAGAAATCCAGAATAAATACAATAACCACCTTAGTTTCAAAAACAATCTAATTATCCAGAAAAAAAATAAAACAAAATAGCCTAAGAATATTTATTAAGTCCTACCCATACTCTGCTTGTCCCAAGAAATAAAACTGCTGGCACTGAGTACACATGAATTACAAGAGTTTTATATCTGGAACATAATAGATGCTCAATAATTATTTGTGAAATAAATGAACTTCACTTTCAACTTGTTTTAAATGTTTATTTTTAAAACATAGTAAGACAAATCTAAGGCCCTAATCTGAAATCTCACAGTACAGTTCATAAACAACTTTGGAAAGAAAAGGTAATTTTCTGCATTTAAGCCCCTTGAAAGCACAAGAAAATAAATAAATAAATAAATAAATAAAACACCACAAGTCTGACAACCTCAACCATTTCCAATCAAAAATTCCAAAGGGATATATATTCAATAGAATTTTTTAAAAACTCCTCATACATCACTTACAGATGAACCCCAATCAAGTATGAGTATTTTTATACAAGTCTTTTTACAAAAATTACAAAGTTAATGTTATGACACTGACCACTCATTACATGTACAAGAGTAAGTATTTTCCAGGAATCATCCTCAGAAATATGGCTATTATTTTTGTGGTATGAAAGAAACTAAGGATCAAGAAAGGAACCAGAGCTAGTACTATAACAAATCTATGTACTAATTAGCATACAAATATTAACCTGCATCATGTACATGACAAGCACATTCTAAACACTAGTGAACAGTGATGAATAAGACAAAATCTATACCCTCAACCAGCTTAGTTATATGGGAGAAACTGAAAAAAGTTTACAATATAACATTAACTAGTTATAAGAAAAATGAATATGAATAGACACAAGGAACAGAAACATAGATGGTAGGAAGGTGCTACTTTAGCTATAGCTATATGCTACTCTTTCTTAAGCTACAAAATTTTTTTAAATGGATGAGACAGGAACAGAGAAGTGCTAGTAAAATAAGATCCAACTTATTTGGATTTATTTACTCCCTTTAATAAAGGGAGTAAAACAGCAGAGATTTAGGTGTAGCAGGCACCTGTAACACAACCTAGGGCCAGCTCCAAAAGCAATTAACTGTAGCTATTCTTTTTTTTGCAGTATAAGAGATGGAACTCAGGACTTTGCACTTGTGAGGCAGGTACTTATGCCACTGAGCTATCTCCCAAGTCCTGCAATTAACCAAAAGACTACTTGAGAAGTTACATTTAGAAAGATTATCTTGGGCCAGCGAGATAGTTCAGCAGTCTGAAGTGCCTGCTTAGGCAAGCTTAGGCAGGCACAGGGTACCGCGGTTAGATCCCCAGCACCACATGCCACACGAGCCCTCCCTCAGGGTGGGCTGAGCCGCCCCCCCCAAAAAAAGAAAGATTATCTTAAAGAGTTATTAAATAACAGGGGCTGGGGAAATGGCTCAGTAAAATAAGCACTTGCCTGGCAAGTACAAGGGCCTGAGTTCAATTCCCGGTTCCGCAAAAAAAAAAAAAAAAAAGTTATCAAATACAAATACAAAAATGACGTACAGTCTATTTAAGAAGCCATCAAAATGTAATTTCAATAAATTATGGGATGAACTTCAGTGAACTATAAATTTATTAATTTGAAACAGCTCATTATCAGCATTGTAAATAAAATACTGCTTTCTATATAATACCTGCAAGGAAAGAAAACTAACATTTTTGTGACTAATATTATACTTTAAGTATCCAATCTCATTTAATGTTTATAATAACTTCCTAAAATTGGCATTACTTTTATCTCATATACAAGTAAAAAAGATTTAGACAAATTTATTTCAGATCATACTAGAAGTGGATTTCTAACTCCAGACTCCTGAACTTCAAAAACTTTTAATTTTTAATTTTATACCATAATCCTTTATCAGATTAAAAATACAATCAGCTCATTATCGCTTCTAGTTATTAAGAAAATGAATTTTCACATATTACATAATTGTATTTTTCCCAAAAAAATTGAGGCTAAGTAAAAGTCATTATAGGACTTAGGATTCAAAGGTAAAAAACATACAATGAACACAGAATTTATCTCTGCTCCTTCTTCATAATCCTACTAAAACTGTATAAAAGAACTTTTTTTTCCTTTGGTCTTTTTGAGACAGGGTCTCACTACACAGGTCAGGCTGACCTTAAGCTTACCTTGTAGCCTAGGCTGGTCCCAAACTCAAAACAATCTTCCTGCCTTAGCCTCCCAAGTTCTGGGATTGCAAAGGGACTTTTTTTAAAGGAGAAAAAGGCATATAAACTAGCCAAAACAAAAAAGTACTCAGGTGTAGAGGTATAAGCCTTTAGTTCCAACTGATCTGGAAATGAGAGAGAGACACAGCGAGAGAGAAAGGCAGGGAAAGAGAGGGGCAGAGAGGGAGAAAAGAGGGAAAAAGAAGAAAAGAAGAGGAAAGAGAAGAAGCAAGCACAGCTAGTTTTAGAAACTGGAAAACAGACTAGTAATAGATGAAAGATACTAGTGATAGATGAAAGACAATTTTCATATGCAGAAAAGAATCGCAAATACAACATACTTTTGATATGGGGGTAAAAGTGGGAGCCAAGAGAAGATAGATAACCTGTTGAAGGAAACATTCAGATCCCTAGCTGCCCTCCCACACATTACAGGAAGACGAGAAATTTACCGTTAAGAACTGAATCTGAAGGAATCTGCTCACACTAGGCACAGCTGAGGTGGTCAAGTGCTACATTCAAAAAGAGGGCAAGTACAGTTAACATAATTTATGTTGAGGCCATTTTATGGATATCTTCCATTTACTCCAAACATTGACATCCAGAATTAAATTATTTAAGGCAGAAGACAGGAAGGTTTCATTGAAGAATCCAGTAAGTCCAAGAAAAAAAACAAACCTCAAGATAGTAACAAGAGATGAAGGGGAAAGGGGAGTAAATGTTCCCTAATAAAGGAGTCCAGCTAGGAAAGCCAACAAGGAAGTCACTACTCAACAAGTCCCACTCCTAAACACTGCTGGTCTTTTAGTGCCCACTTTTATAGGGTAGCTAGACACTTTTTAAAAATGTTGAAATGAAAGATCAAAACTGATAAAAGGAACTTACAGCTAAGATAAAAACATTAAAGAAGAAAACATAAGAACCATCAGATCAAGCTGGGTGTGGTGACACACCTGTAATCCCACTCAGAAGGCTGAGGCAAGAGTATTAGAAGATCGTTCTCAGCGTAGACAATTCACTGACTTAGATTCTGTCTCTAAATAAAAAATTTGAAAAGGGCAGCAAATGCAGCTCAGTACAAAATCCCTGGGAGTTCCATCTCTAATACTGAGGAAAAAAGCAAATACAGGAATATTAATAATACTTACAGAGCATTTACTATTGCTAAGTAGGGTCTATTGTAACAGTTTTACATATATCATTTCATTTATTTTAAAAACCCTTAAGTATCTTTTTTTTTTCTGTTTCACACATAAGAAAACTTAGGTACACAGTTCAGTCTGCCCACAATTACATAGCTAGTAAGTGGCAAAATCTTAGGAAACATCACTTTAAAATCCAAAATTTGCTGTAGCAGTAGGAAAAGCTGACAAAAAACGAAAATGACAAAAGGCAATGAAGTTAAAGGATCAACTGAGACAGTTCTACCTCCTGAATCACAGGTGATCCAAAAAGAAATGAAGAAGAAAAAAAAAAAAAAAAAAAAAACCTCAAATGTCTGAGACACGAAAGACACGAGTGTCCAAAATAAAAGGCACACTAAGCATAAAACATAATGCATAAAGTCCCACATAAAATATTACTTTGAAATGTCAGAACTCTGGAAGACTAAGAACTTTGAAGGACTAAGACTTTTCAAAGACAAAAACATGACACCAGAATCAAAGAGAACATTATCTTAAAAATTCATAAGAAAAATGACTTTCAATCTAGAAGACCTTGCCTAAAGCATGACAAAAGCAAAAGATTAGAAAATTTAGTTTGCAAGCTATAATGAAAAGCCTCAAAATATTTACTTTTCATCCATCCATATATCCTAAAGTTATTGGATATGCTCTGCCAAAATGAATAAACTGAAAAAGAGGAAGAAAGTCAGAGTAACAGCAAAAAGAAATCTCAGAAATACAGGTGTGCAATAAGCTTAGTCATCAGAGTCCAGATTAGTGGGGGAAGAGTGAAAGTTCTAATAACATGCAACTGATAGACTTTTGAAAGGTACAGTTAGACAAAAAGAGGTTTAAAAAACTTCGCTACTTAAAATTTTTTTCCAAATGGCACTGTAATGCTCAAATAATGTGCAAGTCTTGAAAGTAGCTGCTGCTTCATTCTAGGCAAATCATTTAGCATCTATGGGCAAAAATATCAATCTGAAGTTTTCTGTGCAGAACAGAACAAGAAAGAGATATGAACATTCCCAGCATACTGCCTAGCACATAGTAAGCACTCAGTTATACTTGCTAAATGTGCATCATAGTTTCACAAAGAGACAGAAACAACTGGCAGGCATAAACTCAATCTACTACACACCTTCTGTGTTGTCGTGTTTGTTGTCTGTGTTGAAGGTTTGGTAAAGGTTATTTTCACAGGAGACATGTGGGGTGGTAAGGAGTTGGCAATGCTCTGCATGATGTTGCTCATCTTGGGACTGCCACTCACAGGCACAGTGATCGTCTTTGAAACTGGAACAACAGCCTTTGGAACTTCCTTTAGGACAACAGGAGAGGAGCTAGAAGAATTTGTTCGCCTTCGTTTTCTGGGTTTTTCATCTTCATCTGAACAGCTAACACCTAAAAGGCAATGACAATATTGCTAAATTTATCCAAACTAACACTGCATTTTATATATGTGTGTGCGTGTGTGTGTATCTTTTTTTTTTTGTTTTTTAAACCCATGTGTGATCAAGTCAGTCTTGACCTCTCCCTTTGCCTTATGGCCAATCAACCTGTAAATCCAATCTATTCTTCCTCAGAGAAGTTGGCTCTCTTTTCTTTAAACCTATGTCCATTATTGCATATCAAGCCTTCTTATTTCTTGCTTGTATTTTAGCAATAACCTCCTAAAAGAGGTCTATGCCTCCAGCCTTTTGACTTCTACTCTGTCTTATGATCAGTTATAAAATTTTATATCTAATCATGCCAATGCAGTGCTTAAAAATCCTTTGAACAGTTTTTATCTTCTAAGATGAGGCATAAAATCATTACGGTATCATTAAAGGCCCCATATCTTTCATAAAACACAAAAGTAACTTGTTGCACCTAATCATGTCCATCCCTAAAATCTTCTTATGCTAAACCACTCCCAAAACCAACTTAGCACATTCTATTTCTGTATCTTCACATAGTACTATTCATTGGGAAATACCACCTACCATCAAAGACCTTCCTTACACCTCCATGTCTCCTGAGTTTATACAGTACTTTGTACATTCTCTTCTATACCACTTACCACATGACAGTGTAATTGTTTATAAGCTTATTTCCCATTATTTAGAAGCTAAACGTTATGGTTTGTTTCACTGGTATATGGTATCTTAGATATATAAAAATAGTAGGATAAAGGATTAATTCTATCCCAAACTAATGTATGATTTCTGAATATAAAACAACATACTTCTTGGTATTTAAAACTACATATTTTGAGAAATGGTTCCATCATGTTTGGGATTCTCGCTCGTGTTTAAAAAAATTATTTAAAAAAAGACTCTAGGAGTATTTTAGAAGACCACCTTGGCTAAATCTACAGATACTAGTCATAAATTTAATAGTTCAAGAATCATAGTTTTTCTTTTATATTCTAAAACCTCAATTTTTAGACATGTTAAAAATCAAATAATAACAATCTACATTTAAAAATCTCTATATAAAGTAGACATAAAAATTATACAGCATGCCTCATGGACTGTTAATAAAAGATAACTCCTCCTTTAATTTCAACTGGGTTGAGAATAAGTGTCACCTCTGTCTATAACAGCATACACAGCCTCTAAAAGCTACAAAGAAATCAACACTATAACTATACTGAGTAAAATGCTAATTAAATATTAATAACCTCCTGTTGATATATAAAAAGCAAAGCAAAAGGTAAAAATAAATTTTAAAAGGAAAAGGAACATAAAAAATTAAATTCCTTCATAGGGTAGAATTGAGTTAAAATTGCAAAAAAAATGTTTTAAAAAATAGTCAATTAGAAATACAGGGCTTGGGGAGACAGCTCAGTAGAATAAGCGCTTGCCTGGCAAGTACAGGGTCCTGAGTTCAATCCCTAGTACCACACACACAAAAAAAAAAAAAGAAAGAAAGAAAGAAAGAAAGAAAGAAAAAATAGAAATATAGACATTTCTTGTTTAACAACCAACTTCAGTTGCTACAAACTAGTCGTTAAATTGATCACTACATGAGAAATTGTATATAGTATGTACAATATGCAAAACATAGTCAAAGAAAAGTCCAACTTGAAGACTCTGCTTTTATTTGCATAACTCTTACATACAGTACAATGTACAACACAATATGAAACATTACTGTACTACGCAGTACAATCAGCAAAAATTACAGTACTTTCCTGTAAAAGAAGCCACCATGAGAGCACACTGCCACTTACATTCCTGCATAGTAAGTCCAAATTAAGTTGCAAGTCAGAGCAGCGGTTTGTTAAATACAAAACACCTGTTAAACAGGTAGACCGTTAAACAAGGAATATCTGTATTAAACTATTAGAGTACTTTACTAACAGTTCAATGATGTATTATATGAACTAATTTAAGAAAAGCGCTACAAAGATTATAATCACAGAAGAAAATATGAACTACATGACATAAGCACATTCCTTCAGTATTTCTATCCCATTACAATCAAAACAAGTGAATACTGGAAAGAGAGTACTGTTTAAGGGCAGATTCCCCACAAAGAACAAAAAAGAAGATACTTCTCAAACCCCAGAACTGATTAAAAATCATACACCTAGTCACATAGAGAGAAAGGAACTCTTTAGAGCCTTCAAAAATTAACCATTTGTAATTGCTAATGGCCTGATTATTTATTCCAGGAAGGCAGATCTAATCAGAGCCTACACTGCAGTATTTAGCCAAGATGGCCCTGATAACACTGAGAGTATCACTTACTTTTGACATAAACAGTACTTCCACTTGGCAAGACAACTACATTGGAGGCAGGACTGGCAGGTCTTGGAGACTTAACCGTTGCTATGCTGCCACTTGGAACAGGGGTAGAGGTTGGGGTTGACGTAGTACTTGTGTAGGAATAGCAAACCACTACTGAAGGAACGATAAAAAAAGTTTGCTGTTAACTTTCACCAAAAGGCATACAAAAAGTTATTTTTATTGCAGGCCAATTTTAACATTTTCACGTGATTAAAAGTTAAGAGGCCAATACTAGGTATTAGGTCCACAGGTTAAAAGGTATTAAAACCTTTCCTAAAAATCACCACCTAATGCGTTTTTTGCCCACTATTTAATAGCTTCTTTACAGATGACTTTGACAATGGACAAGAATATAGTTACAAAGAAACAAGCTTAAAATTATACTACAAAAAATGAAAATCACTTTCATTCCCAGCAAAAAATTTGACATCAGGCAAATATTTGTATCTCCTTTTAGTACTAAGAGTATTGATGAACGGGGTGATGGGTAACCTTTCCCTAACCCCAGCTATTTCCAGTATATTATTGGGGAAGAAACAACATAAGGTTCTTACATTAACCAACTCACTAGTCATTCACCATGTGTATCAATAACTAAAATAACATCAAATTTCAACCTCTTTTGCATTCCACAAAGGGAAACAGTTTAATAAACAGTAACACAGGTACTATTTACACAGTCACAAGTATTATACTAAATCACTTCTATATGCTATCACTACTTCTCACACCATGACCTCATTTTAAAGATGAAGATCCCAAGGCTCACAGATGTAATTCATGCTGAAGGTCACAGAGCTAGGAAATGGCAAACTAAGATTCAAACATAGATTTGACTATTGGAAATCCTACATTCTTACCACTCTACCAGAGCACTAGTAGGTGGAAAAGATAAAAATAGGAAGAGAGGAAAGATGCCTCTCCAACAACAAAGTAAACAGGAAATCAAAGAAGACTAAGTTTGTATACTGATAACTTCTGCCTTGCCAATATAACTGTCTTCCGCCTAAAACAAGTTAGCATTCAAGAGTGCTATAGCCCGATTGCTAGGTAAGAAAAAAACAATTCCTTAGGATAACCTGACAAATGCATCATTTTCAGGCCCACTGTCATGCAAAACCAACTTAAGCTATTGGAGTCAATTTGAATACAGTGGCTTCAGAAAAATTCGAGGATTTTTAAAGCATGTGGCAATTACAAGTTAAATAACAATAAAAAAAATATTTGCATCTCTGTCTGGTAATGGATTCAGCACATTGACTAGAACAGAGGGGTAGTGTATACCATCTATGACAGGAGACAAAAACACAGCTTTATTTTCTAAAGCTATCAGTTCAGCATCTTTTTGCAGCAGCTAAATTAATTCTATCATCTTATTCTCTAGTGGCATGCATTAAGGCCTTCTATGCACTTCTAACTAAGAAACAGTGATATTAAGACTTCATTCCAAGCTTGTGGATTAAACAATAAATTTCTAAATTTAAAAAAAAAAAAAAAGAAAGAAAAAAAAAGACTTCATTCCAAGAAGGGTTTTTGTAATTTTTTTCATTAACATAACACATTTTCAACAACAACAACAAAAAATTTAGTTTTGGCTGAGACTAAAAACTGCAGTACCTAGTTTTTGTACCAAAATTGCCCACTATTTTTTTTTTTTAAGATTTATTCATTTATTTGTTACAGGCTCTCACTATGCAGCTCAGACTCATAATGGTCCTCCTGTCTCAGGCTCCTCAGCACTGAGATTACAGGCACACAACACCACGCCCAGTTTCAGAGGCCCAGCATTGTGTGGGGCCAGCATGGCATGCAGTACCAGGGATGGAACCTGGGTCCTTGTGCTTGCCAGGCAGGTACTCAGACCACTGAGCTATCTCCCCAGCCCCACCCACTATGTTTCATAATCTTTAAACACTAGGATACAAATAGATAAGAAACTCATGCATTTTCTTGACCTTTTCTTGAAAATTCTGAGAAAAATAATCTCTACCAAATATTTTCCTACTCACCTTCTTTGCTTCCTGTTTCTGCAGGCACTGGAAGAGATGCATTGTGCTGGATAGCTGCATTGGCAACAGCATTAGCTGTTACAGTGAAGGCTGTTTGGGGAACTAGCCGTGGCATCAGTGGTACCAATCGACGACCTTCAATGGACCATTCTGAAGAGCTATTAGGTCCAGACATACTAAACAAAAGAGAAAACACTGCTACAAGGGTTCTCAATTGTTAAAAACAAATCAAATATAACTTATTAAATTACAAAAAAGACCCTTAATGAACAAGAGGCTTTATTTAAGCAAGCAAGATCAAAATTCTGAATAATTAGAATTCAAGGAATGTTAAAACTTAAGTTATGTATTTTATTCTATAATCTGAATCTTATAATGAACATAACTGAGACTATGACAAATTTTTCTATGGTTTTTAAATAAATACTAGTTTTGGTTTTGTTGATTTACCTGGTTTCACTAATGAAAACTGGTATTTTTACTAAATTTTAGAATGGAATTTTGAAATTAAACCAAGAAAACAAAAAGCATTCATAATACAAATAATCAGATTTTCCTTTAAAATTGAAGATGTAATTCTGAACATTTGCAATATTATGTATCTGCCTGCATGGCCAGAGGTTCTAAAGGCTTTTAAATGAAGGAAAAAGAGGCAGTAAACGAGGGGAACTAGGTAGTAAAGCATAGAAGAAAGCTGTATACATAACAGCATGTGTTACTAATGATGTATGTTCTATTATTATATACACACAATGCCTTCCTGTTAAAAATGGATCAGATCTAAGGATGCTAAAAGAAATCTACCATTTTATTTGAGTTTATATATACCACCATTCACTGTAAGAGTAATGAGTTATTTAGACTTCCTATTCAAGCAGATATCACTCTCAGTTTCTCTACCCTACATTTCTTGAGCAAGTTTCATTCTGAGAATCTGACCAGAGGTGAAATCCTGAAAAAACAGTTGTCAGCTGAGTGCTGTAGTACACATCTATAATCCCAGAACTGAGGGAGGTTGAAACAGTAAGATCACAAGTTCAAATCCTGCCTCTGAAACTTTGTGAGAGTCTGTATCAAAATAAAAAAAAAAAAAAAAAACAAAAACAGAAATGACTGGGATGTAGTTCAGTGCAAAGGCCCTAACCCCTATACCAAAAAGAGAAAATTGTCATTTCTCTTGACTTGGCTCCATGACAGACCCTAAGTAATCATTAGCATCAAAGATTAACATTTATTCAGAAATAATCTCTTCACAAAATCAGAAATATTTCTATTCTCTCTCTTTTTTTTTTTTTTTTTTTGGCAGAACCGGGGATTGAATTCAGGTCCTTCTACTGAACTATCTTCCCAACCCCCTTTATCCTTTTTTTGAAACCATGGATTCTACAATGCATAACTTAAGACTTTAAGACTCTTCATACACTGATTCTTCAGATTTTGATGGACTACATAAAAGTCTTGCTTAGTGAGTAGCAGAATAATTATGGTTATGGTAGTAACGCTAGTTAAAATCAATTAAGAACTTACTACATGATGGGCGTTGTTCTAAAAATTGCATGTGTATTAATTCATAGTTCTTGCAACAATCCTATCAAATTGGTAGTCTTTTTATCTCCATTTTATAGATGGGAAAACCGAGTCAGAACACAGGCTAAATAGCTTATCTAAGGTCCACAACTAATTAACATCTCCTTTAATATATTTCAGCTACTACAATTTCATGGCATACACAAAGAAAGTATAAATGTTTCAAACAAGTTTTATGTCTTTTTTTAAATGTCTAACTTTTGTCCTTGATTTATATCAACTTGGAAATGTGGTCTACTTGTTACGAACTTTTCACTGAATGGGAAAAAAAAAAAAGAATCTCTCAAGGGCTGGGGAAATAGCTCAGCAATCTAAGTGCCTGCCTAGCAAGCACAAGGTCCCCGAGTTCAATCCCTGGGGACACATGCCATGCTGGTGTATTGTGCTGGCCCCAAAACCTAGCATAGTAGTACACACCTATAATCCCAGTGCTGGGATGGCTGAGAGAAGAGGATCACTACGAGTTGGAACTGCGTAGTAAGACCCCATATTAATTAATTCATTAATTAAAATTTTTTTTAAAAATCACTTAGGAATTTAAGTTCAATTCAAAATGGCTTTTCAAAAAGCTGATGAATCCAAGCGGGTCACTGTGAAAAAAACCTATAAATTTCTTCATTTTAACACAGTTCTTCCTAAGACAAGGAAAACAGGATTTCCTGAAACCCCAACAATTGACAAATTCATAAGTTCCATAGTATACTTGGTTGGAAACAAAGAACGGTGTGACCAAGAAAAGCAGAAAGGGCTATAGCTGGTTGTAAAGGAAAAAAATTTAAAAGCTATTTAGTATTTTGTTAGCCTATTTTATTTTACTACCATTTTATTAGATTATTGCTAATCAACTTGGTTGGTGTGAGTTTACCACACAAAGTGTTATCTACACTTACCTGGTGCACTGTTCAAATTGTGGTGGAAATTACAGAAGATTAATCATTTAAAGTCATAATTATATGCTGTTACTAAAAAGAGAAGCTTGCAGTGCAATACACAACTGCAACTTTCAGAAAAATGTATAAATCTTCCATATTTCCACTCATGCAAACATGCTCCAACTTTTTTGAGTGAAAATTAAGTATGTTAGAATTAGATTAAAATTTTCTATTTGTTTAGTAATGGGGTATAAATATGCATTAGTTACATAAGTCATCTAAACTGAATTTACAAACTTTAAACATCTTACTGCAGAGTTTCACTGAGATATCTTACTCTCTCAATGCACTAACTCTCCATTTATACTAATACAGCAGAGGACAGAAACCTTGCTCTACTCCCTCTTCCAAGAAATCTAAAATAATACTAATTAAATCACCTTGGCTGTCACATCACTCCTTAGTGTGAGAGGAATCCTCATCTCACACAGAAACACAGTATCCTGGAAATTTCTGACTAATCGTAAAAGGGTTAAAGAGCAGAAATTCCAGCCACCTTATTCTTACTCTAGAGACAACATGGGTAAGCACAGCCCAATTTAAAAATCTGAAGCTTAAACATTCTGTTGTATATCAAATCTGAATTACAGCATCAGATTTAGCATATGGCCTGATGCCAAACAACATGTGTTATGCTTTAAGCCACAAGCAAGGTTTCTCTTTGACCCCCAACACTCCACTCCTTTTGTTCCCTTTCCTTTGTGTGCTCTATCTTCTTGGCTTTCTCATCACTTTTCAACCACATTCCTTCTGGCCTAAACTGCTCTTTGGGGTGGGGGAGGGCAGGAAGAGGAGAAAGGGAATGCAGTCAGTTCAGATGCATTCCTCTCACTGTTTTTTCAAGCTCAGTGTCTGAAGTCTCCCATAGATAACCTCTGGAACTAAGCTCTGTTGCTACAGCTAAGGGGAAGAAGATAATCAAAGCTCTCTACTCAGTAACTCTTGGGCTCATCAAATAAATACATCTGATCAAACTAAAACCACAATATAAAATATTAAAACAGGAGTACAGAAAGACCTAAGCAGCTTAAAATTATACACTGAAGTAAACTCTTTTCAAAAAATAAAATTCATATATTAAGGAATTCAGAAAGGAGACGGAAAAGAGAGGAAACACAGGCAGATAAAAGCCAACTCTCAATTATCCATGCTAATGGAGAGAGGAGGGAAAGGGAGAGGTCAAATAGATTAAAGAAACTCATATAATATCCAAAAATATTTTGGCAAATACTAGTAAATTCTTCACCAAATGTTTTCCAAGACAACTAACAAATAGCAACATTACTAATTAAAATTTTCACCTCCTCTCCCTTCCCACCCTCTGACTAGAGGTACTCCCAAGCAGCAAAATGGCTAAAGGGTAGGAATTATTAGGAAGGGGAGGAGGGGAAGAGAAGGAAAAGCAAGGGGCATGGTTAATTCATAAATGGAACAATGTGCCCCTGAATAATTGAGAGCTTCAATTTGGAAATAAATACAAGAAAAAGCCTGAAATAGTAATAACCTATTTGCATACCTGTAACTTGGTCTTTCACCCAAATATAAGGATAAATTCATTCTTTAAAGGGGAAAAAAGGAAAAGGAGACTAAATAAATGTTATCCTTTAAGTATGACACTGATGCATCAACTTACAACTAGTTGCCCCACAATACTCTTCCAATGTTTCTAAGAAACTGATTTTGTCTCTAAGTGCCTCTGAATGCAACATACTGCTTACTATTTTATTACCTAGTACATAAATTTCCTATTACTAATTCTCAAATTAGAATCTAGGTTCAGTTACCATTTTTAGAGAATCTCAACTAAAAAGTCTGGAGCAAATTAAATTAGGAATACATTAGTATTTGAATGTTTCAACCATGTTAGCCTGACAACTAAATACTATACCTACCACTCAAAAATCTCAAAGTTCTATGATAAAATGCTAAACTTTTATGATGCTAAAAAACACCCCATTTTATATATTAAGTAAAATGAGGGAAGAACACAAAGCTAACAGATCTTTGGGGTAGATGAAAATTCTGCCAATTGATTTAAATACATAGTTTAAGTTATTACATTATGAAAATGCATTGAATTTTTCCATTAGTTTTATTTCACATTAAAACAAAAATTAAAAATATTTGAACATATTTTATGAAATATTTCTATCATCTTATATCAACACTGTAAAGATAATTTCTGTTCCTTTCTATTCTTTGGAGGCACTGTCTCCATGTATGCTCCCATGCTTGATCCCTGCCCTCAGTCCACCCTCACCCCATCTGTCAAACAGTAGTAATGATCTCAAAACAATTTGGTAAGAGTCCTTTACCATTTTACTTTTACTTTTTAAAGTACATTAAAATATAATCATGTCTTAAAAGCAAGAAATATGTTCGTGTTTTTCTGAATCTCAAAATACATGAGATAATTACAGATAGATACAAAAAAGTTATGCCCACAGTAATATACATATCAAATATCCCATTACAAAGAACCCCTAAGGGACTTTCAATTTGAGAAGGCATACTATTTTGTGACTGAACTTTACTTCAAGTAAGTGGTCTAAACTTCGGTGATCTTTAATTATACAGAAATTACCTTGTAAGAGGATTTGACCTAAGTATTTTAAGCCAGCCTAACAAAATGCAAAAACCATAACCAACTGAATAAACACTGACCACTATGGTCAAGATCCCTCAATAGAAATGTTGTTATTAAGATAAAGGACTCAGGAATCCGCTACAACAGGAAGACTGTTTCAAAACTACATTATACTATGTCATAAAAAATCAGGGGTGGTATGACTAATGGCTTACTTATGTGCAATTGTTGTTAACCGTTCATCGTTTACTGCTCTCCGAACTTCAGCACGGTGGCGTTCTGTTGAGATGCTATGAAAAAAAATAGCCATTATAGAACTCTGCCAAGCAGGCAGCTCTTTGCTATACTTCTATTAATGTTTAAGTCAACAGGCAGTGGGGGAGGGAAGGGGGATTGCTTTGTGAAAAGACATAATGGGAGCCTAAGACCTTCAAATGTTTCAGTCTTAGAAAAGGATTCATACTGATTGTGTAACTGCAGAAAGAATTTGTAACAAATCAAAAATTACAAAAAGACAAACAGAGGTTGATATCAAGGCATTACTTCCAAATCTCAGAAACCTTAGACCATAGAAAAGATTGGCAAAGCTTCCTGTATCTAAATACATAAACCAATGGCTTCCCAATCATGACTGCTGAGAAGAGGACTTTGGCACTTAGAAGAAAGCCTTCTAAGGTCTTTTCTAAAGTTTAAGAGTCGATAATTTTATGTTCAGTGAATACAATAAAGAATGAGAGTGGCAGGAAAATCTGTATCCTGTGGCTACACACTACGAAACTTGATGCCAGGGTAACAATCTATAACTAAACACTTCTAGCTATGTGTCTTATACATTACATTATGTAACCAATGGTAAAAATATGCTTATATTTTTAAAAGATGTGGTCTTTTTACACAATGGAGTACTACTCAGCCACAAAGAAGGATAAACTGGAGACCTTTATAGGTAAATGGATACAACTCAAGATCATACTCATAAGTGAAAAAAACCAGACACACATGGGCAAACATACTGCCTCCCTAGTGTGAGAAGCTAAAACAGTGAATGAAATCCAAAATGTACAATAACTACTATAAAATGGGAAGAAACTATGCAAAAGCAAAGAAAAACTAGGATGTGGAAAGAAGAGAAAAACCAAAAAAAAAAAAAAAAAAAAACCCAAAACAAACAGAAACACACATACACAAAGAGAGTTAAGATAGTTATACTTCTAATTTTTCTTAAGTTCATTGAAAAGAAAGGTTTGTGCTAATACTGTTTGGACAATTAAATGCCTATATCTTACACTCTGAGAAATTTAAAGATAAAAATATGCAATGCATTAACCATTGTTATCCTCCTACTATCCTGTTTTCAAATTTGGGCGTGTTTTCCTCTTCAAAATAAAAAAATTAAATATGCTTACATTGATATTGTGCTTATATTAAACATATATTAAGTAACTTTTTTTTTTTTTTTTTTGGCAGAACCGGGGATTGAACTCAGCCCCTTGCGCTTACCAGGGAAGCGCTTATTCTACTGAGCCATCTCCCCAGCCCCAAAATTAAATAACTTTTTAAAAGACTATACCCATTCTCTTCACAAATAATACCACTCTTCCGAGTATATTCTCTACTGTTTTTATGCCATGAGTTAAAACATTTTAGGGGATAAAAAGCAAAATTTATGAAAAAGCATATATAACAACAAAACAATAAGAATGAAAATTTAGTTTAAGTGCATCCTCACATTTATATTATTAAATAACAGGTAGAACCTCATCCATCCTTTCACTTACAAAATAAGATGAAAGTCTTTAAATATGAACAACAGTTAAAAAAAAAAAGCTTGAAATGTTACAATAAATCAAGAAAAGTGATCCTGATTTCCTCACAATATCCTGACCTACTTAACCAGTGTTACCTTTATTTTGTTTTTTCCTCTTTCGCTCAACCCAGGCTCATTCTGCAAAGCCAATGTCTCCCTCACTCTTCATTTTCACTTTTTCAAATAAACTTTGCAAAGAGGGGGGGCACGAGGAGGACAGCAAGGAGCAGGAGGAGGAGGAAGAAAAGGAAGAGGAAGAGGAAGAGGAAGAGGAAGAGGAAGAGGAAGAGAATGAGGAAGAGGAAAGAAAGAAGAGAAGAGAAGAGAAGAGAAGAGAAGAGAAGAGAAGAGAAGAGAAGAGAAGAGAAGAGAGAGAAGAGAAATCTCACTCCAATTTTTTTACTGGATCCAAATGCCACTCTACAAGGGCTAGTTCAATCCCGCACGCTGAGAGAACAATTGAGACTGGGCGTGGTGGCATGCGCCTGTAATCCCAGCTCTTGGGAAGCTGTAAACAGGCAGGTCACTATGAGTCCGATCTAGTAACGAGACCCGAAACACCCTGCAGACCTTTCCCTAAAATAAAAAAAAATTTTTAAAAGACAAATGCCATTCTAACGCAACTAACGGAAGACTATGCTTAAGGTTATGACTTCATAATCACTACCCAGTTTTAAGGCATCTTCCCTGCATGTCTTTAATCTAACAAATGCCACCTTAGATTTTTTTTTTTTTTTTTTTGGCGGAACGAGGGATTGAACTCAGACCCTTGCACTTGCCAGGGAAGCACTTATTCTACTGAGCCATCTCCCCAGTCCCACCACCTTAGATCTTAATATGTATTTGCTGCCACTTTTTCTTTCTTCCACTTTTGTCAAATATATTTCCCTTTCTCAGATGGGCCAAAACTAAACCTGCCTTGAATCCTTTCTGATGGGATCACAAAACAAAAGATAAGTTGCACTATTTTCTGTAACAGAGTACACAAATAGCATAGGATTCCTAAGCATCAACAATTTGAATACCTCTGTTCTTCAATTCAGAATGGAAAGTAATATAATCCCTCAAAATGAAATTTCTAGAGTCACAATTCCCAAACTTTTATGATAATTTACCTAAGAACTTTTGAGAGTTCTCCAAGAAGATCTTTCTTTTCCTTGGTGAGATCCCCCTGTGCCCGAAGTGCAGTGATAACTCCGGCATATGCCTCCAATTCTAGAAGAAGAAAATTATTTTATCAAGATAGACCTTTAATATTTTCATACTATAGGTATACATAGTTAAACTTCAGGTCTAGAAACTTAAAATCAGCCAAATGGAAGTTTAAGTCTTTGAAAAATTTTATCTAACAAAATATTTTCTTTTTGGTATCAAGGATCAAACTCAGGACCTTGTGCTTGCCAGGCAAGCACTTATGTCACTGAGATATCTCCCTAGCCTTTTCGAACAAAAGATTTAAATATGGCTTCTACAATTTGTATCATTTTGTTTTCTATTGCTTCACAGTTAGCTTCACATGTATGTAACATGTTCATGTAGAAAAATCCAATATATTTACAACATGAAATAGGCCCCCAAGTGATATAAGACTGGTAAGAGAAGTCTTTAGCATTACTGAAGGGTACTTTCACTGATCAACCCTCAAAATAACTTCTTAGGACTGTCTAACAAATTCAAACTATATTCCACCTCCCTTCTGGGTAAGTACTGTTGAGCACTGTACAACATAGTTTCTCTTATAAAAGAAACCTGAAGTATAAGTAATTTTAAAAAGATACATAATAGGAAATAAGGAGACAAATCTGGAGGGATAAGGGAGGGAGGGTAAAGATTGGGAGGGAAAGGAAACATAAAAAGAATTAAGAGGTATCCATGTAAATATACCAACTCCCCAAGATAAATGTAATCATTAGGTACTATAAACACGTACCACGGGGCCGGGGAGATGGCTCAGTAGAATAAGCACTTCCCTGGCAAGAGCAAGCGCCTGAGTTCAATCTCCAGTTCCACAAATTAATTAATTAATTAATTAAACATGTACCAATAAAAATAAAACTTAAAAGAAAAAAATTATTTTCTACTTTTTTTAAACAGCATCTCACTATGTAACCCACATTGGCCTCAAACTCAATGTAACCGTTCTGGCTCAGTCTTTAAAGAAAAACCTTAAAATATAAAATGAAATACATATTTGTAATGGCTACAATTAAATTTTTTTTTGGTTCCATCACCACTACTTACTAGTTGTGTGACCTTAAACAAGTCCTTTCTTATTTGTGAACCTATTTCCTCATCTAAAAAGAACACTGTAGGTACTTTCCAGATCTAAGATCCCCTGTATCTACAGAACTATCATCAAAATGCTTAATTAGAAAACATGTTCTTAAAGAAACTAGGACATAATACAGTGAATCCTAATACCAAACAGCTTATATTTCACTCTTTCAACAGAATCAAACCATTACAAAATGAAGCTATCAGTCTCTGGTACTGGTTAAGATATAAAACTACAAGTCTTAAACAGGCCCATTAAAACATACTTGCCTACCATTATAGCTTGTGTACTTCTCTCCTATGGACTGTAAGCCTGACAAGTGACTTGATTTCGGCCAATGGAAAATGAAAAATGCATGCAAACAAACACTTGCTAAAAACTTTAAATTGGGGCCTTGCTCCCTTAGAGATACCAAGGTCCAAAACAGCCCAGAATAAAAGACCACAAGAAGAGAGGCCCATTCATCTCAGCTAAATTATCAACTGCACAGAGACACAAGAGCGCTCTCAGAAAACACCAATAACCTATAGAATAGAAAGAAATGATAAAACAAATGCTTTAAGTCATTAATCCTTTGAAACATATAAACAAATACACCGGTAGGAAATATATGTCTAGACTGAAATTCTCTTCAAACTCAGTGTGCTACAGTATTTGCTACTTGCCAATGCCAGATATAAAACACAATAAATACAAGCCAAATAGATGTATGACTACAGACTACATATATACTAATAAGTGATTAGCAGTCTCATTTACCTCATATTATTCACAATTCCATCAAAATGAAGCTTTATATACAAGAACGGGACGACTACATTAAAAAGAAACATCTGAGACTACACATGGTGGTGTGCGACTGTAATCTCCGCACTTAGGGGCTAAAAACGGGAGGATCACTACAAGTCAGATCTACATAGTGAGACCCTGTACACCCAGTCCTAAACACATTTTTTAAAAAGAAAGAAATGTCTGGTCCCAACAAATTACCCAAAGTATATATCCTGCGTGTTCAACCTGTACTGGACACTTGGTGGACATTTCATGGAATTTCTCCTAAAAGACAAGCTCTATTGCTCTAGACAGTAAAGGAAATACTTAATTCTAGGAAACAAAAAGAGACAATTTAGTTTCAGGAAACATTTCAGCTTTTATCAGACCCAGAGGAGACCAAGGCATTGGAAATGATCAAGCAAAAATTAACTATACTCTCAATATTTATAGAATATTTTATTCGACAAATCAATACTGAGTCCTATTACATACATACATAAATACTGTGTTAGGTCCTGCCCTCAAGTAGTTAGCTGCAGAATACGGTTACTGTGCAATAAGATCTCAAGAAATTAGGATAAAACTTACAGCAATAAATGAACAAATAAATATATCATCTAGTCAAGAAACAGGTTTTAAATAGGGAGGAAAATAAAAAAACCTATGCTCCAAGTAGGCAGGGTGAGGAATACAAATATGGTAGAGTGAAAGAGTAACAAGCAGTTTTCCAAATTATTTCAGTAACTTCCAGTAACAGTGACTACATTTGAGCACTTTATACTAACAGAAGCAAAATGTATAGTTACTAAAACAAAGCAAACTATTCACAGAATATAACTACTACTATCATTACTACTACAGTACTACTATAAAGTACCACAGAAACACTTGTAACAACAGAAGTCAACCATCTTAAGGGTATCCTCAAGTCCTGACTTTTTTTCAGTACTAAGGATCAAGCCAAGAGGAACTCTACCACTGAACATACCAGCTCTACATTTTTTTTTTTTTTTTTTTTTTTTTTTTAGACAGGGCATACTTATTTGCCCAGGAGGGACTCAAACCTGTAATACTCCTGCCTCAGTCTCCCACGTGCTAAAACTTCAGGCATGCACCACCATGCTAAACTTCATGATATATCTTAAACTCAGTTGAATTTCTGTTAATGTATTTGGTGCCACTCCATTGTGTTAACGCCAATAACATGTAAGTATAATGAAGTAAACACCCTTGAACACTTCAAAAAACAAAACCTGCAATCTGAGCATTCCATGAGACCGCAGAAGTGATGCAAGTTTGAGTCCAGCCTAAGCAAATATGCAAGACCTTGTCTCAAAAAGTAAAAAAGGGATGGGGTGTAGCTTAGTGTGAAGGTCATGAATTTAATCCCCAGGACCACAAGAAAGGAAGATAGGAGGAAAGAAAGGAAGATAGGAGGAAAGGAAGGAAGATAGGAGGAAAGGAAGGAAAATGGAAAGGAGAAAGAGGCCAGAGAAAATTAAAAATTTGCCAAGAATTTTTTTTTCAAACCTTTTCTATAAAACCTTCCAATCATTCCATTTAAACAAATCAGTTATTCAATTGTACTTATATACATAAAACCCCACAATGGCTAGGGTTTTATAGTTAAGAATAGTCATAAAATTGGCCAAGGCCTATATTAATCATTTCTATCTAGATGTCCCAAAGCCTCTTTTGCTCATAGCCTAGCATTTGAAAGCTGATTGAATCAGGGGAACAATACAACTAAATGTAATGTTAGAAAGTGGGACCTGGTCAGAAAAGGCAAGTCACTGGGGGAATGGCCTGGAAGGGTGTATCTTTCACTCCCCCATTTCTTCCTTGTCTCTTTCTGACTGTGAGGTGAGCAGCTTTCCTCCACCCAGGCTCTTCCACCATGTTCTAGACCATGCAAGAAATGAAACTTGTAAAACAGAAGACAAAATAATAAACCTCTCCTCCTTAAAGTTTTGGCATCAGATATTTTGAAATGAGGATAGTAACTGACACCCTGTAATCCCTGTACTCTGAGAGCAAGAAGATCCTAAATTCAAGTCAGGTCTGGGAAACTTGGTGATAGCAAGACCAAAGCTCAAAACAGACTGGGGATGCAGCTCAAGACCAAGACCCTGGGTTCAATGGGGCAGGAGGTTGTCAGATAAAATGCATTTCCTTATTAGTGGTACATTCAGTATATCATAAAGAAATTCTCTATCCCAATTTCTTTGTAATTCAGTAAAATCTGTTTAGCATTTTATATTAAGATAATTTATAGGTATCTTTAAAATGACAAAGCTAATTCTTAAATACATTATCTTTTCTAAACTTAGGATCTAGAGCTAGTGTTTGAAAGCAATGCAAGTTCACTGTTATGATAATGAGCCAACAGGTGGGAAGGAAGTCTTTGGGTAAATCACTATTAAGGTCTCAATGTGTCAATGACATTATCATGTAGGATGGCTGTTTTCCTTTGTATACAAGCAGCTCTCCAGCAGCATTACACAGCTTTTAAAATTAGGGCTAAATTCATTATTTGTATTTGTATTTATTTCACAGTGAATTCTATTGTGCCCTAGGTTTTTGTTCATCTGTGACACCTTTTTCTTTCATACAATCTTCTTTTCTGGTTTAGGAACAGTTTGTTCCTCTTTAGGAAGGCTCATCCTCCGGTACCAAGGGAAAGCCCACCTACAGGTAATCTCACTCTAAATTCTCTAAGCACCAGAGCACATCTTGGCTGGCTTGTTCATCTGATATACCCACTGAGAAAACATACATCTAAACTCAAAATTATTTAGCACTACATTTTAAAGCATGTGAAAAAATAATTCAACATTCCTTTTGGAACGTCTTGTGTCCAGCACCACTATTTTGCCGAGGCATACCTACTAACTCTACCACTGTAATTCAGTGATACATATTGCTTCTGCAAAACGGTATCTTTTTGATACTTGGCGGTTTTTCAGATATGCATAGCCCTGGGAGCTTCAGAAGTATTCCTTCTTTTAGTGAACACAAGATATTAACCTCTTGATTTATGTATTTTTTTTGGGGGGGGGGGGTTTGCTGGGTTAAGTGAATACCAAACCATTTCCTTATCACTTCAGGCAACTTAAGGGAAGAGCTAAGGATAAATTTGGACTTAACAGCTATCATTTTTACTTTTAAATATAATCTCCTGATTGAAAACCTCCAAAAGCCAGAAACCCCAATCCAATCTGTCATTTTTGTGATCCTCAATCAGTTCAGCTATATAATGAGTCCAATTTTATAATTGTCAGCAAGTTATATTTTCAAACTAGTATTAAAAGTCTGTATATGAGATTTTAAAAAATAGAATAATACATCTCACTAAAAAATCTCTTTTCAACTTGCTAATGTAACAATGCTAGATCCAGGTCCAATGAAGCATGTCTATAATCCTAGCTACTTAAGAGGATCCCAAGTTTGAGCCTAATCTGGGCAACTTAACAAAACCTTGTCTCAAAATAAAAAATGAAAAAAAGGACTGGAGATATAGCTCAATGGTAAAATACATCCCTGGGTTCTATCCCAAATACTGCAAAAATAAACAAATGAACAAACTGCTAAGAATTGGTTTGAAATCCTTACAGTGGCATGTGGGGAACTAAAACGAGGACAAGTTATTAGCAGGCTTGAGTGGCTCTAATTCTATCTGATCTACATATAAGAAGTTCCTCAAAAATACTTCCTTTGAAGCATCTTTTTGCAGCTCTTTAAATATTACATAATCAGGGGGCTGGTGAGATGGCTCAGTGGTCTAAAGCACCTACTTGGAACAAACTTCACAAAGCACAGGGACCATGGTTCGATCCCCCAGCACCACATGCCAGCCAGCCCTGCCCCCTGGTGGGCTGAGCTGGCCACACACACACACACACACACAAACACACACATATAAATAAATAAATGTTTAAAAAAAAAAAACCAGTATTACATAATCAGAAGCCAGGCATCATGACAGGCATTTATCTAAATAATTGCACTTCACTGCTAAAACATTTATTGTTCATTTTCTTTTTTCTTTTTTTCATTTATTTCATCTATTATGCTAGCCTGAAGCTACAGTACTAAGTAAGAAAAGCTCTCTATAATCTAAGACAGCATTTCTCAACCACGGGTCTTCATTTGAACCAAACAATATGGAAAATGATTTGAGTAACTCTTCTCAACTGTCTTGGAACAGCACATAACTAATACCATGCCTGCAACACAGAAGCTATTTCATTATATAGAACAGATGCCTTGGCATTAGGGCTTAATTCTCTCCTTAAAATGCTGGTTAAGAAAGGCTGCTATATGCCTGCAAGCAGGCGCAGGGGCCGGGAGTTTGATCCCCGGGCCTGCCATGCTGGTACCGGCCCCACCACCAGGGCACACTGAGACAGCAATTGAGACTGGGCATGGTGGCACATGCCTGTAATTCCAGCTTTTGGGAGGTTGCAAACAGGTGGATCACTACCAGTCCAATCTAGTAGTGAGATCCTTAACACCCTGTAGACACCCTAAAAATACCAAAAAAAAAAAAAAAAAAAAAAAAAAAAAAAAAAGGCTGCTATAAAGGAAAAGCACTAAATGGTAATTAATAAGCACAAAACACATTTTATTAATAATAATAAAATATAATTTGGGGAAGTAGGTACAGCATGTATTAACTTAGAATTGAAAAATATGTATATGTAATTCATACATTCAGGTTAAAAGTATGCTAAAGTGAGATTGAAAATCATTTAGTCAAATACTGACTTTAGTTTCAGCATCACCCTAGGTTCTAAACTTCATCTGTAAAATGGAGGCAAAAAATTACCCAAAAAACATAAAACAGCCTATCTTTTAGGTTTAAGGACTGAGACGTCAGGTATAAAAGACTCCAAATAGCCAGTCAACTATCAATGATTCTTGGCTACTCATATTATGATTCATGCACCTCCTATGTACAAATCAGCACAACAGGCACTGGGGAAACAATGAGAAGGATGGTGACTAGGTCTTCAAAGGGTTTCTAATATAGCATAGGATGACATTCAAGCAAACAACTATACCCCACACAGAAAGGAAAAACATCAAAGACAAAAAATATTAAAAATAAAAATCATACCCAATTTTCGAAGAATCCTTTTGCATTCATCCCTGCTGAGATCCAAAAGGGTTGGCCACACAACAGGCATTGCTGCTTATGTTTGGTAGCCCCAAAGAGCTTCTCCTCCCTACCAGAAGAAAAAACAACCAATTTATCAATGTATTTCAAAAGGCCACTCACCTGGAGATCCATCCACAGGATAAGAAGTGAAATCAGGGGCCAGGGAAATGGCTCGGTAGAATAAGCGCTTGCCTGGCAAGCACCAAGGACCTGAGTTCAAAATCCCGGTTCCACCAAAAAAAAAAAAAAAAAAAAAGTGAAATCAATAAGATACCTCACGATCACTTTTCATCACCATTTTGCAACTTCTGCCAAAGAATTAAACCACCATTTGAGAGCTTACTGTACCATTCAGTGGAAAGAGCAAGGGCTTAATGGTAGTATAATCCTAGCAAAACTAGACAAACTGAACCAGTTTTACACATGTATTAAGACCAAGGTGTTACCACTCAGTTTGTTATGTGTGTTAATGAACAATACATGCCAAGTTTCTTCATAGTGACTGGTATGCAATTTAATAAATACAAGCCACTACCTATAAATCTGGCCAAGTGACTTCTGTCAGTTTTCTCACTTATAGTTTCTAACAGGTTATTTGTGTTAATGGGAACTCAATAATAAAAAGCACTCTCAAGTCTTTTTCTTTTTTTTTTTGCGGTACCAGCGATAGAACTTAGGACCTTGCACTTGTCAGGCTGTAACTTATGCCTCTGAGCTATATCCCTGGCCCTCTCCTCACATCTTGACAATGAAATATGAATTTAGACATCGTAGTCATTAAACTACTGCTTACCAAAAGTTTAAATGACAAGAACTTACTTCGTATTGGTAATTGCCTTAGTTTAGAGGACAAAAAGCGCTCAGGACTTACACAAAACCTGCTTTCCATACAGCACACCCAGAGTAAACATTCGTTAAATGGATAAATGAATGGTTGGCGGGAGAAAGTAAAATGAATGAGTGAATTCACAGCCTGGGAGTCACTGAACCGAAATAACTGCTACATCCGGTCCCAGTGGTTGGGCTGCTAACTCCAATTCTACGCCCCCGTTTCAAACCCCCCCCCCCCCCCAACTCCCACCAACCTCTCGGTTCCAAAACCAACTCCTGGGCTAGCAGAGCTGGACTGCGCACCCCTGCGGGCAAGATGACTTAAAGGGGTAGGAAGGAGGAAAAAGAGGCAAAAAAAGAAATCCGCTCCCTCCAATAGCTTGTCCCCGCCTCCAGACAGGATCTTGGAGGCGGCTAGACCGCCCGAATCTAGCACCACGTCACGGCATCCCAACACATCCTGGCCAGCGGACCCTAGCGCCGGGCTGCCTCGCATCCAAAACGTCCCCGATAGTTGCTGGGCCGGCTGGGGTCCCCGGATCTCGCGCAGTCCTTCCCGGCGGCTCAAGTGTCAAGGAAACAAACCCGCCCCGCCCCCTCTCCACCACGCACCCGCCCGCAGCACTAGAGCAACCAGCCCGGGCTCCTTGCCCGCGCCTCTCAGCGCCCGTTCGGACGCCAAGCCCGCGCCCCAAGCCCTCCAGCCGCAGCCGGTGTCAGGGGCCCCGCCGGCATGGGCGCCTCGCTCCCTCCCCAGCGAGAGGACAACGGAAGAGTAGGCGCACGGACAGCCAGCCGGACTGCCGGGACTCACTGAGAGCTCCCAGAGCTGGAGCCCCGGCGCCCCGGCACCCCAGCACCAGGCCTGCCGGAGTCCCCCTCCGGCCACCTCCGGGAGACCCACGATACCGTTAGGAAACAACGGAGGATGGGGCTGGGCGCCCCAACCTGGGCTCCAAGTGCCTGGCCGGGGCTAATCTGCGCCGGGTCCCTGCCAACTCTTCCTAGGACCCTCCTGAGAGTCACCCACCTGCCCAGCCTTTCGGGGCTCATCTAAAAGGCTCCTCCGCCAAGACTAGGGGACACCAGGAATAGGGTTTGTTTGCGGTGCCTCAGAAGGGGCAAGATGGCGACAGGTACCAGAACGCAGGCGCAGGCGCGCGTTGCCAATCGGGAGATGTAGTTCGTCTTTCCCGCCTTTCGAAGAACGGGCACCAAAGGCCCTCCATTCATCCTGTCCTTTTCTTACGCTTTTTGAAAGGAAAGGGCCGGTATCGCATGGGGCTGGTAGGAATTGTAGTCCAACGCAAACCGAGGTCTTTCGCTTCAGGTTCGCTGGCGCACGCGCAAGGAAGGCTGGGATTGTAGTTCCTCCGGCTCCTCCAGCGTACCCTCCGGTCTCTGGCTTCGCGCGCCTCGCCTCCGCGTCCCAGCCAATCGACGGCGCTCTCCGCTGCGCGTAGCGTCGTGCGTAGCAGCTAAGATGGCGCGGGTAGGTGGGGTTTGCGTTTCGCAGCGACCTTTGCTTCACTGAGGTTGGGGATAGAAAACGTCCAGCTTCGTCCTGAAGCGCAGTTATAGTTTAGGATTGGATTTCTCAAGAGTCGTAGCGGCCATTATCAGCGTCTGTAGCCACGCAAAGTGCAGCTAGAAGAAAAATAATCCACACCCGGATAATTGACAGTGGAGTTGCCCGTACCTTATCACCGGGTTACGGAGTTTCAAATGGAGAAGGAGAACCTGAGCGTTCTCAACTTTGGGTTCCTGCACATGCGAAGTGTAGAAGATAGATACCTCGTGCTATAAGGAAGGAATTTATTTGAGGCACTGGGACGCGGTAGGCTCACCCTCAGCCTTTGTTCTTAATCACATCATGTTGTGGAGGTCTTGTCGCTCTTATCTTACAGACAAGAAGGGACCCAGTGTATTAGGATTCAAAGCCTGTTTTGAAGATTCCGTCAAATTTTGTTTGATCTCCCTCCAAATTTTGTATTTTTATTAGTAATTCTCGAACCAAAGATTTTGATGTACATTCTATTACCAGACATAGTTTCCTCCTTGAAAGGACTGGAGCATGGCTGAGGCCTTGGTTTATATCCCCAGCCCCTCAAAGAAAAGAAAAAATACTACACCGTATGGAATAATATACCCTATAAAGATATGGTGACACACAACTTAGAAAAAGGTTCTCTATAAATCAGGAACCATTATAAAAACCAGTGATACTGTTCATGTTTTTGAATGAAGCTGTAGGTTAAAAAAATAAAATAGTATTTATATTTCTTGTCTTCCCTCCCTAATTTTCCGGTGCCTGTTATTTTGAAGCCAACTGCTTAAGTTGTTAAAATAACAAAATCTTAATAGAAGACTATAATAATGTACATTCCTTAATCTGAGCTTTGCACTATCTCTGAGCCATATATAATTAAAGTCCCTTGTACTATATAAAGAAAAACCCAAATGTTCAGTAACTCACCTAGTTTCATACAGCTAGGAATTGATAGCTGTGTTGTATAACCCCAAGTCTTCTGACCTCCACGTGTCCTCTACAAGGACTGTCAGAATGACAAATAATAGAGTAGAAACAAAAAGGACTTGCAAAAACTGACTCCATATGAAGTATGATGAATTACCATGGTTAATGTTGTATTTACTAGGTTCCAAGTACTGTTTTAAGCATTTCACATTATAGCTCAGTCCTTAAAACCACTTTATGAGGTAAAACTATTATTATCCCTAATTACAAGCAAGGCAACTGAGGCATAGGAAGTTTAATAGCTTGCCTAAGGTCACACATAAGATGGTGAAGCCAGGATATGAATTTAAGCAGTTTGGTTCCAGAGTCTATGCTACAGACCACTACTTGAGGCTCCTGTTAAAATGCAAATTTTGATTCTGTATATCTGGGAAGTCTTAGATAGGGTATTTTTTAATAAGCTTTTAAGTGATAGTGGTGGATTTCCTAACCATATTTTTTGTTTTGCAGCCAGAAACTACTTCTCCTTCCTGCCTCTGACTGTTCATAACACCAAATGTTCCTAATAGTGTATTTTCTTCCTTATGCATCAGACTCACTCAAAAAGTATGTCCTACCTCTATTCCATTTCTTCTCTGCTCCTATGCCACATCGTGACATCTTGTTACCGAGCTCAAAACACTGAATTACCATATAGTCATTTGTTGAAAATTCCTAACCATGAGCTATTTAAGAAGAGGGATGAGTCAGGTCTGCTCACTCTTGTGATTAGGACATAATAATAGCTAAGACTTATCCAGAGCTTTCACTGATCCAAATGTAGTGGCATAACATTAGATTGTCCCCAACAATAATCTAATATTAGCCCCATTTTATAAACGAAGAAACTAAGGCAGAGAGAAAAATAGCTTGCCCAAGATAACAGGCTGAGTAGTAAAACCATGGTTTCAAATGAACTCACTTTCCAGGAAATATGAGATAAACAAAAGTCACCACACACTTAACTTCCAAAGGAGAAAAGTTGACTTAGTATCCTACTAGACATAAATGATTATCCTCTACCCTGGGAAAATAAATGGAAGTATAATGCCTATCTAAATGTTATTCCTCTATTAACTAAACACTTTAGTCTTTAATTTCTTCAAAATGATTATCATCCACCATTCCTATATTAAGCAGCTATATTAGAAAGGTACAGCTCATTGCCATCATGAAAATATCTGTTAAGCTACCATGATATTACACAGGCAAATTGAAGTGGGTAAGACCTTAGGGACACATTACTACACTAATAAAACCTAAAGGTCTGAAGACATCAAGTGCTTTATCCAAAGTCGTATCAAAATTTCATAGCAAAACTTGGGTTGCATCTTATGATTGATATTTTTTTCTGCTGTATGACATTGTCTAGTTTCTTTTAGGAAGTTTATTACTGTACTGATGTAGCTAATGTGTGAATTAAAAATGAATCTAGCCAGACTAAAATATATGTAAGTAAAATATTAAATAGTCAAGATTAGAAGATCTAAGACAAGAACAATGGGTAAGTGTGTTGGGGATATATTGAGAATTAATTGCAAGGTGCCTTTTACCATAATAAATTTTTTAAAAGTATTTATTGTATCTTTAAAAAAAGATAACTAGATTTGGAGGATAGAGAAAATAGAAAATAAATAGGAAATAACTTGTTCAGGCACAAAGCAGTATCAGAAACACTTCAGAACAGTCTAAAATGGCTGTAGAAAAGAAATGAAAGATCTGACCACTGCCTTGTCAACAGCTTCCTCGCCTTCCCCTGAATTCTGTAGTTTCTACTTACCAAATAGCTGGCTTGATTGTAATAGTAAGTGATAGGGCCTTAGCATTTCTGGAATGGGCCTTTGTACAAACCTCTTTCCTCTCAAAGAACCTCTGTCACCCTTTGCCAAATACACACACCCTACTTTCCACTACTTTCAAAATGAGCAATCAAAGCTCATCGTAAAGTTTCCTTAAACATTGGCTTCCAATTGCCAGCAGAATAAAATGCCAGCTTTTTTTTCAAGCAAACCTATGCTAGTTACAGAAGCTCCCTTTTCCCTAGGGAACTGCTGCCATGCCTTTATCTTAAGTGTGGCACATTCTTTAATTTCACTGCTTAAAGTCCCTTTGAGAGTTCTCTCTCCCCCTTTGATATCTCAAGTCAGGAATAAAACTTGGCGTTCTCCTAACTTGTCACCACAACTACTAGACCTACCACCCCTGCACTGAGGCTCTCACTTTAAGCCATACAAACTGTATTTCACCACTCTTAGGGAGAAGATTTGTAAGTTTGCCATCATCAGCTTAGGTTGCCCCATTGTGTATTCTGCCCTTGCACTCACCAATATAAAAACCTTTCTTCACAGCTCCTGTACATCCTCCCACTTCTGCACTATATTCTTATGATCTGGTCTACTAAAATCAATAGCCAACATACCCCACATTTAACACAAAACTTTGTTATTCTGTATGTCTTAACTCCTTTCCCTTCACCAAACCTGCTCTTTAACCTCAGGACATCTGTAGACTTATAAGGTTCCCAAATTTCTAAGTGTGTTCCTGTTCACTAGCTTTACTTTCTTCCCATTCTACCCTGGACACCACATCATTTATCTGAGACTCAGTCTTAGCACTTAGAAATCTTCTCAGACATCTCTGTCCTCCACATCAACCCTAGACCAGTCATGCTTTGATCATTTTCTCTCTTAATCCCTTCCCATGCTGATGTAAGTATTAACAGTTAATACGTAATGTTATCCCAAACTTCAGTGGCTTAAAACAACAACAACAAAAATAGCTTTTTTAAGTTTCATACAGTTTTCACGTTTTATATTAGAATCAAAAATGGCTTAGCACTTATATTGCACTCACCGATATAAAAACGGTTTTTGCTCAAGATCTCTCAAGATTTTGCAGACATCTCAAGCCTGACAGGCTGCAGGATCAGTTCACAAGATAGCTCACCCTCATGGTTGGCAAGTTAGTAAGGAAAATGGTCTCAGCTTCTCACTGTGTACCTCCCTGTATGGCTAAGTGATCTAAAAGTGAACAGTGTATAATCTACAGTGTTAGACAATAAGGAGAAAGACTCAAATTTTATAGGTGTTTGTATAAATCTATATAACACACAGCCCTTGAAGGGAAATTTATACAAAGCAGAAAAACTAAAAACTTGATGAAGGCACATTGAAATAGTATTAAATGGCATTTCTTGAAGAATCATTATGAAAAGAGAACACCTTGTATGCATCTTCTCATTAAATCCTCAGATCATTCCCATGATACAATAAATGGTTAATTTTAAGGCTAAGGAAGTCAAGCACTATAGAAAAAATAGTTTGTTCAATGTCAGATATCTCCAAAAGATGCTTTTCAGGAACACACAAGTAGGGCTGGCGAGACAGCTTAGCTGACTAAGCTCCTGCTTAGGCAAGCACAAGGACTGGGATTCAATCCTGGGTACCATATATCATGCTGACCCCACCCCTGGGCATGCTGAACTGGACACAGACTGACTGAGAGTGGTGGTGCATGCCTGTAATCCCAGCACTGGGGAGGCTGAAAACAGGAGGATCACTACAACTCTGAGCTGTGTAGTGAGACTCTACCAACTACATTAAAATAAAAAGGTACTACTCAATTCTAGCTATCCATAATTACAAGCCAAATCATAGCCATGGCTTAAATAATTTATTTTGCTCACAAATCTCCAGTTGGTATGAGGCTTAGTGGGAGCAAATCATCTCTACTCTTTTTTTTATGTTATTCACTGAGGTCTGAAGGTTGAGTGAGGTCTAGAATCCTCTGAAGGCCTATTTATTAATAGGATCAACAGTTAATGTTCGCTGCTGCCTGAAATCTGATGGGTTGTCAGCTCTCAGTTGTTATGTGGGTCTCTATATAACCCAGGCTTTTTCAAACAGGTGGCCAGATTCCATGGCAAGTGACCAGAGAAAATTACCAGTTTTATGACAAAACTGAAAGTAGTATAGCACTATTTCCACTATACTTTTGATTAGAACAATCACAAGCCTGTCTAATTTCAATAAAAAGGAAAATAGATTCAATCTCTTGATAAATTTGGTAGAATACTAGAACACCATGTGTGACCAAAATTATTAGACACTTTTAGAAAATATCAACTGCTACAGTCAACAACAGTTCATATCCCTCCCACAAGCAAGACATTCCTCCACTCAAGAAACCCCCTTCCTTCCAGTCTCTTCTATTATGCCAATATGATTGGGCATAGGTCCAGGATTTCATCAACTAGGTCCATATTTGTGTGAAACGCCTCTGGTGCAGTCTCTCAATTTAAAGACTAAGGAATTAAAGATGCAAATTATCTCTTCCCCACACATCTGGCATACAAAGGTGACACAAGCATAGAATAACCCTGTAGAGCTTGTTCCAAAGGAAAATAGAGGAGGCACAGCAGACTCACTGTGCCATAATAATTCTGATGCAGTTTCTCTGACACCTCTTATCTCTACTTTCAGGATTTTCCCC